TACATTAAAGCATGTAAACATGTCAGAGTAGAGGCACAACATACAAGTTTGAACTTCAAAATGACCACGCAGCCGGCTTGTCTTTTTCTTGTACTGTATCTACGTCTTTGTCAGTTTCAAACGTTTTTCTCTCCGTGTGCTTTAAAAAAAACACACCAGAACTTGCTCTCATGATTGCACCTCCTGTCTGCTCAGTAAAACACTCTGCTGTCATAACAGGAGAGAAGGGCGCTGAGGGAGGGAGACATATATAAAGAAAGAAGAGATAGAGAGATCCTAACACAAACACAGCCTCTGTAACTCAGAGCTCAATAAAAGATGGAGGGACGGCCAACCTCAATGACCGCAGCACAACTCGCTGCTTTCTTCAGCTCAGCAGGAAGTCTTTCAGATATTATTGCTCGCACATTTCTATGTGCATCTGCGTCCCAAAATGTGTCATGTCTCTCTTTACTTAATATTATTTTTGGTCAGTGGAAACTTTAAAGCAGGGGTGTCAAACTCAAATACACAGTGGGCCAAAATAAAACAAATGGGTACTAGTCGAGGGCCGGACTGGTTCAATGTTTATTGAATGAACTTTTTTGAATGAACGTATTGCACATATTAAACCTGGAACTAACAAAGCTTAAATGATTGCCTATAAAACAACATTAAATAATCAGCTGCATTAATTTCTTATGGCTCTGCAGCTTTTCCAGAGTCATTTCTTATGATTACATTTCTCCACAGGCCAACAACAGCTTCAACAAAACTATTTCCCTCAAAGAAAAACAAAAAACCTGCCCTGTTGTCGTGAGAAAAAAAGTGCGACAGGAAACATCCATTAAATTCAGTGTGCTGCTCTGTGATGCTAGTTCAGATACTTGGCATCTCATCTCGGGTGCAAGTTCATCAATGTTTGGGCTCAGGCTCTGAGCTGAGGAGACCCTCAGGATGGAGTGAAGGTGTGCGTGCAATATACCGGCGGGCCAGATCTAATAATTAGTAGTTAGAAATGATCCGGCGGGCCGAAATTAAATCCACCAAGGGCCGGATTTGGGCCTTGAGTTTGAAACATGTGCTTTAAGAGATCAGTTTGCACATTTAGCAAGTATTCTGGACACTAAAGGAAACATCCTCTTACAAATGTTAACTGGACATATGATGGACGTCAGAGACTGTTTTCGAAAGAAGTCCTTTTAATTAAGTAAAAGAAGCAGTCTAAATGTTGAATGAAAGTAAAGTATCAGAATCAAATTATACTTAATGTACCACAAGATTATTGGACTATAATTCATTTGTAAGCATTGTATAAACATTGTAGCTGGTAAAGCACTTGTGGATAGTTTAACCTTTAACAATGCATCATGATGGTACATGAATAATCTGAATCTGCATAACAACTAAGTTCTGACATTTTTATACTGAAGTAGAAAGTGCAATTGTTGCCTCTATATACTAATGGATTATTAAAATAAAGTTGTGCATCTTAACATTGTACTGGACTCAATTCAAACTTCAAAGTTTTAACCAAGCCTCAATATGAAGAACCAGGATTTGCCAGCATGAATGCACTCACAGTACGAAACTAAAAATAAATGTTTACAAGAAAATAAACAAAAGTAAATGCAATAAGAACATGACAAATGAAAACAATTCCAGTATATCAGAATTTCAATTAGTAGAGCTATGCAGTTTGAAAAGAGGAAGCATTGAACAGAGATATGCACAAAGCTTACAGTATGGATGATGAGGAATGACTCACATGAAGTGTGTTAGGGCAGTTTATGTAAATATGTACATGTGTGTTTACCTCTGAACCTGTGTGTCTGCATCCAATTGTCTCTGTGATTCAACACATGTGCTCTCACAGACACAACACAGTCAGACAGATTAACCGAGTCATTTCTCCGTGAGTGTTTGGCTTGATGAGATTTTTAAACAAAAGCACGGGATTCTTTTTATGGCTCAGTTTTTGTTTGCTGGATCAGGTGCAACCTCTGAGAGAAACTAAACATGTTCTGAATTCCCCGTCAGTGATTCAGCGGCCTGGAAAAAGAGGAGAGGGTGTCGCATGTGTAGAAGAATCTTCAAGTGCTGCTTTTAATACTTTACATCTGTCTCGCTTCAGTGATTCACACATTCACATGTTTTCTTTATTATTCTACAGCTAGTTCAAAAACACATGCACTGACACATCAAAACTAGGGCTGTACCCGAATATTCGTTCGTTGGAGTACTATTCGGGTTTCAATTTCGTTATTCGGATATTCGTTTTGTTTGTTTTTCCCCCGTTTTTTTTCAAATTGAATTTATTGAAATCTCCAATATCAACGTAAGAGCTTGTGCCTCTTCGGGGGGGGGGGGGGGGGGGGTGCTAACACTTAACCATAAACGTTATCGTTTACTTTCTCCGTCTTTATATGTAGATATTACTTTTCTCCTTTAATCTCCGTCACGTTGTTTCCATAGCAACAACAACTTCCTGTCAACTGCGCTAACTCTCCTTCAAAATAAAAGCATGTCCATACAAAATAGGAAGCCAAGCCAAATTACACTTAAGACATATATACAACTGCAACGAAAGGCAAGGCAAAGCAAGTTTATTTATATAGCACTTTTCAACACAAGGCAATTCAAAGTGCTTTACAAAAAATGAAAGACATTAAGAAAATGGCATCATTAAAAAGAAAAGCTAATAAAATAAACATTAAAAGAAAAAATACATGGATAAAAGTTACAGTGCAGTTCTAAGATGTGAATAGTTCAATTAAAAGCAGCGACAAAAAGAAAAGTCTTCAGCCTGGATTTAAAAGTAGTCAGAGTTGCAGCGGACCTGCAGGTTTCTGGGAGTTTGTTCCAGATATTTGGAGCATAATAACTGAACGCTGCTTTACCATGTTTAGTTCTGACTCTGGGGACAGAAAGCTGACCAGTCCCTGAAGACCTGAGAGATCTGGATGGTTCATAATTTAGCAGGAGGTCAGAAATGTATTTTGGGCCTAAACCATTCAGTGCTTTATAAACCAGCAGCAGTATTTTGAAATCTATTCTTTGACACACAGGAAGCCAGTGTAAAGACTTCAGAACTGGAGTGATGTGATCCACTTTCTTAGTGTTAGTGAGGACTCGAGCAGCAGCGTTCTGAATTAGCTGCAGCTTTCTAATAGATTTGTTAGTGAGACCTGTGAAGACACCATTGCAGTAGTCGAGTCTACTGAAGATAAAAGTAACAAACACAATGCAATATCCTTTTCAATTTCAAAGAACACAAATTGGGTTATTTACATAAACAAATAACTATAAAACAACAATACTGTAGATGTAGAATAACAAAATGAATGCCGTGAATACACCGAAATACACGTGTTGAAGCGGTTCACTGCTGATTACTACGCGCGGGCCGAATATTTGCTGCTGATTACTACCGAATATCCGGAGCCCGAAAAATGGTATTCGGGACAGCCCTAATCAAAACATACAGGGCACTTGGGATGAGACTCTTTGTGTTGTGAAATACTGTATGCTCCACCACTACTATAAGCACACAATTCCCATTTATATTAAAGTAACATGAGTGTAAACCTCCATGAAGTGCATTCATGTTCCTCAGAGGAGCAGTTTGTCAGCGTTGCACAAGATATTACATAACCAGCGTTATATATACAAAGAACAATGTGCTTCCAAGAGGGATACATCCATTTTGTTTGAATGATCCCACTGCTCTTAATCTGGCAACACTTTAACAGTTAAATTAGCAGCATGTTGTTCTTTCCATCATTTGGTTTCGGGCGCTGTGAAGGACATTGCAGTATCTATCGGCTGCCGTAAGCTCTGTAATCGTTGTTCTTATTGATTTTCCCTCATACAAACACCCTCATTCTCTTCTCTTTTTGTGCAGCTGGGCTTCCTGCCTCGCCAGTGCTGACCCTTACATTTTAGCGTTTATACATTAGTTTGCTGAGTGTGCATGCTCTTCCCCTGCAGTGCAACAGAGACACACATTGACCTGTGGAGATCCTGGAGAGAGACAGTTTGCATAACCCACGTACTTCCTCTTTCTAACGGTTTGGTGTCCCTCATTGGTTGACATGGCTCATATACTTCAGTCGTCATTGGACCCTGGGGGTTATTGTCTTTTGACCAACTACCAGCAGCCAGGTGTTTTCATGGTGGGGATTCCGGTGTTTTTAGTGCTGTGAAAGCATCGCGTAGACGTTTTGGTTTTATACCATGGGAATATGCAAAAATATAGTAAATTCTCGTGAGCCACACTTTTCTGCATGTTTTATTATAACAGGGCACGTCTAAGACAGTCAAGAGCAAATGTGTCACTTGATAGTTGTTGAAAAACGTTTTGAACCTCTCAGTGCTGAAGAAAACGAGAGGAAAACATGACCCTCTCCTCTTAAAGGGGCCCTATGATGCTGTTTGGGATTTTCCCTTTACTGTAGTTTGATATATAGGTTTTAGTACATGTAAATAGTCTGTTAAGGCTACAATTCGAAATGTCCCCCCCAGAGGGAGTCTAACGCCTCCATTGGACTATTTTGTTTACTTCCTTAACATAATGACATCACTATGTGACACTTGCGCTTCTGTTGGCTAGTGCTGGTAAACATTTCACGTGGTAGGCTAAGGGGAGGGACATATCTAAGCGGTTGACCAATCACAACAGCACCGGCGTCCAGTTAACCAATCAGAGCAGACTCTTAAAACAAATATGATCCTGAACATTAGCATAAAAGGGCCCCTTTAATAAACTGTACTATTCTCTGTGTGTGTGTGTGTGTGTGTGTGTGTGTGTGTGTGTGTGTGTGTGTGTGTGTGTGTGTGTGTGTGTGTCAACATCAGGAGTTACTGTACATTGGTTAAGTCAAGTCTTATTCAGGTAAAGGCTAAATAGTCACTAACTTCTACAAAGTGAATCTTCTCTCTAACAGTTCTGAGATCATTTCTAATTGTTTCCCCCTGAAGTGTTTACTGACCCTCGGTGTTCCTCCTCTGTTTCCCTGCAGGAGGAGTACCGGGCGGAGGGCATCACCTGGCATCACATCGAGTACATCGACAACAGCGGCTGCCTCAACCTCATCAGCAAGAAACCCACAGCGCTGTTCCACCTGCTGGACGAGGAGTGCAAGTACGCCACCTGCTGAACTAAAGTTTATATTGTAGAACGTGTTGCACTTCTGGTTTGATGATGGCAGGGTTTCCTGGAGTTTAACATGCATAATATTATTTATATTCTCTTAAGCTTTTTCATTCATGCATTGTATGCTTACTCTAATTCTAGACACTGCAACACTATAAACACACTGTACTATAAATATATATACGATTTGTTGTGGTTATGAACGGTTAGCAATCTAGTTTACTGGATATTATACAAATGCTGAGTTTTGATAACTTTAAAGGTGGGATAGGTCAATTTGGAGAAACCAGCTCGAGTGCGCTAGAATTTAAAAATACACAGCCGGACAAAATCAGCCCCTTCCTTTCAGCAGAGTCCTGCACGGGTCTGATTTTCAAGACCCGCTCCCGCCCCGCACCCGCGACGTGCAATACCGAACCCGCCCCGCTACCCGCACATATTGCCAATTAGTTCCGCAACCCGACCCGACCCGTCGGCACAAGATCCGCAACCCGACCCGAACCCGCATAGCCTATGAGCAGTGAAAACGTGCAATTATTAACACACGCAGTTTCATATTTGTCTCAAAAAGCGTGGGATGTTGGTTATTTCCTCCATCTAGGATGACACAAAAAGCCTCCCAGACGTTGGATTTCGCTCTTGAGGAAGTGTTATTGAAAATGCTGTATTCTCCGCTAGAGAGCTTCACCTCAGCCATTTCGAATGTGGCGCGCACAGCAGCAGATTGATGCGCTGCAGAGGTTATGATTATGCGCGGTCCCGCGGGGGAGAGGTCTGAGGATTTTAAACATTAAACTAATTTATTATTATTTTAATATATTTATTATGCAATACCCGAGACCCGACCCGCATCATCTTTGTTTTACCCAGAACCGAACCCGGAAAAAAGCGTTTGAAAAAATATCACCCGCGAATCACCTTTTTTGCGGGTCACCCGTCGGGTACCCGCGGGTACCCGACCCGATGCAGGACTCTGCCTTACAGACCCCTCCTCCAACACACACGAACATGCACATGACCAATGAGGGCACGAGATAAGTTTGTGCACAGATGGAAGGCTGACAGGCAGGTAGGCCATCCAGTTACTTTAGCCGGGCCGACTCAGATGATTGGTCGTGCTTTTTACAGCGCTACGGCTTCCATGGATGATGTTTTTTATGGATTTTTTTGTCAAAGCACTTCAGATATTCATTGCTATCGGGATGTTAAGAGCATTCCATGCAATATAACAAAAAGTGTATCTCGAGCCGGTTTCTCAAACTTACCTACCCCACCTTTAAGCTTTTTCATTCATGCATTGTATGCTTACTCCAATTCTAGACACTGCAACACATATCAGTACTATAAATATATATACGATTTGTTGTGGTTATTAACGGTTACCAATTTGGTTTACTGGATATTATAACAAATGCTGAGTTTTGATAATATTAACTCTGGATATTCAGGGACCGAGTGAATTAGTTGTATTGGCCCTAAGTCCCTTCTTTTTAGCCCCACTATCAGGACATATTTTCCACAATTTCAAATGACATTTAGAAGAAGCACCAAAGAGGAGAACATTGGTATTTCTTTGGAAGCAGGCCTTTGCTTTTACCTTCCTTCTTTGTGGTTGTTTGGCGTACATGAAGAGCACCAATGGAAGGGTGTTGGGTGTCAAGGTTAAAGTGTGAAGTGTTTCCCTGTGTTTGGTTCCCATCCCTTGCTCCACTCATTAACAATTCACATCCCTAGCTCGTGTGAGTTATGTGGAGAGAGAAACATATTTCACTGCAGCATGCTCTGTTGATATCACTCTGCAGAAGCAGCTTTTATCCCCCAGCTGGTGATCCGTGGAGACAAAGTGCTCCCTGTGCAGGACTTCTCCTCATTAGCTTGATTGATACCAACACTGGAGCTTTTAGCAGAGCTCAGTGAAAGCATAAATACATGTGTATTCCTCCGCCAGCATCTCAGGGTCACGTTTTCTCTTTGTTTCCTGTTGTGAAGCGCTCTCCTCCTGCATCTTCTCCCTCCATAAATCAAACTCAGCGCGCCTCCCACCCTCGTCGCATAAAAACACATCATGCGCTACACACACACGGCTGTATTCATCTATGTCAGCTGTCGTCTTACTTGCCACTTAGGATAGCTGGTTCATCTGGATCTTATTATGTGGGGAATGGATCAAATGGCGTGTATAGAAAAATATGTGTGTGTGTGATAGGGAAGCACTACTGGAGAATTGGGGTCAAAGGGGGATCTCTATAGGCAGGGTCTCTCCTGCGGTTTTTGCTGCCACTGGAAGAAGCTTCATGCTAAATGATTACACAGAGAGAAAGAAAGACGCTTAGAGATCTCATCCTTCACAGTTAGGGGAGGCTGCCGGCCCTCTGGAGACGTGGATTAGGTTACTGCAGCATCCAGGGCGAGAGTGGGGGGTTTATTTCTACTGTAGCATCAAGACCCACGCGGATATACTTCAGCCAGCAGTGTGTTTCAGATGAGTACTGAGGGAAGGTTTATATGATGGGAAACATCCCTTGAGCTATGTTGAGGTTGGTAGTAAATGTGTAAAATGCCCAAATGTGCAAAATAAATGCTGCAAATGTGGTTAAAATTGAGCAATAGTAACACATTTGGGACAGACTTGTAATCCCTGAGAGTTAATTAAATCAAATAAGATACAAAACGTATTTTTATAGTCATATATGACAGAACACATTTGTCTCAGGGGGCTTTACAGTTTGTACAGATCAATGAATGACAGTTTAGAAATAAATACAAATATCACAATGTTGTCAATCTAATTGACAAAATGGATGAACTAAAATACAATGAAAGGGAAATAAAACGCTGTATTCATAGTTTCCATTTTGTAGAAATACACTGCAAACTCATCAGATACTACTATGACTTAAAACAGGTTGAATAAAGTACTTGTGATTTGAACTTGCCTCTAAAACGATCCCTCTTTCCTCTAGTTTCCCCCAGGCCTCCAATCAGACCCTGCTGGACAAGTTCAAGCGTCAGCATGAAGGAAACAGTTACATCGAGTTCCCCGCTGTCATGGAGTCGGCCTTCATCATCAGACACTACGCCGGGAAGGTCAAGTACGGAGTCAAGGTGAGACGCCGGCCGTTCAGGATGTGGACTCTTCTTTGTACGAGGATTTACATCGTTGCTTTGCACACCTGATAGCTGTTGATTGTTGTGTATTTATTTCAACAAGGACCATGCATACAAATACATTAATCTCAGAAAAGAGAAGAGATGAATTATGCCAGATTATAGCTAATAGCTCATTTACATCTGCAGTCATTCCAGTTCCAGTATTGTGAGATATTAATAGTGTTTTAATTGTCAACCTGTATTAAAAATTATCTTTAACATTGGCCAAAGCTTCACAGATAACTCTACAGGTCTGATTAACCCTCTTATTGTCTTCGTCCCCCCCCCCCCCCCCTTACTTTGGTGTTCGAGGTCAAATTTGACCGGTCCTGTTTTAACTGCTATCACATTAACACAAAAACCATTAATCATCACCAAATTTCATTTAACACCCTTTTCAAACTGTAAATATTGTATCAGAATACTGGCATACATGAACAACTGCAGTAAATATACAAAGAACAGACACTGAACATGTATTGCGTGTGCCAGGTGTGATCCATGTGGGGGGATGGGCACATAAGAGTGGGACATGTGTCAAATTGTTCTGTGTGTGTGTGTGTGTGTGTGTGTGTGTGTGTGTGTGTGTGTGTGTGTGTGTGTGTGTGTGTGTGTGTGTGTGTGTGTGTGTGTGTGTGTGTGTGTGTGTGTGTGTGTGTGTGTGTGTGTGTGTGTGTGTGTGTGTGTGTGTGTGTGTGTGTGTGTGTGTGTGTGTGTGTGTGTGTGTGTGTGTGTGTGTGTGTGTGTGTGTGTGTGTGTGTTTTATCTGATCCGGATGGTTACTAATTCCTTTTCTTTATGGTGGTCAGTTTTGACCGGGAACACCATGTCTACTGTGAAGGATATCATGAAGCCTTAATGCAATCAAATGTAAAACAAAAAAAGTTATGATTGATGAAAGTAGTAAATCGGTCAGATTTGACCCGAAGACAACAGGAGGGTTAAGCCAAGCAGGTTTTGAGCAGTTATCTGTGCAGTGTTTCATTTTTTAATCGCATTTTTAAAACACATGAGAAGCATGCCGTAATATTAAAATAGCCAAATCAATTACACCGGTCATTGGTTGTTGTTGTTGTTGTTGTTCTTCTTCTTCTTCTTCCTTTGAGTGACTGAACACAGAGTCATTTAAGAACTAGCTGAATATATCTTTTAGAAGATAGACGTTTTTTAATCTTTTTAATTCAGAGAAGTGCAGGTGCTAGTCGAGCAGTACCTTAATAACCTTCTTTGTGGGTGTTACATGTCAGGATATTTGAGAAAGACAGCTTTAAATATCTCACAATGAGGACAAATATAATGTGGACCCTTAAACAGAAGTGAAGCAGTTGTGGTGCAAATCAAGATGGGGTCTTTTCCCAATACCTAAAATGTTGATTAAAGGAGAACAGATCAAAAGGTACAAATTCAGAGCCCTCAACAGATGATGGACGCAAACCTTCTTGTTGTTCGGTAGATTATTTTGTCAGCTAAATACATTTCTCTGTTTTGCTTCCCAGCTGCACTGTGATCAGAAACACATGTGCTGGCATGAGGCGAGCGTATTGTTGTGTGACTGTATACTATAAATCCATAACAGTCGGTTATCGTGGCTGTGGAAACGTATCCCACGTATCGCGGAGGAGTTGTTTGGTGTGAAATGTGCAGCGAGAGCCACAGTTTGTGAAATGTGTCTGATGTTGGCTCGGTAGTGAAGGAGCAGCTGACTCGAATCATATGGAGACGGAGAATATGTTGAGGGGTTTACAGTTCATAGCTCTGTTATCATAGCACAGCTTTAGTGAGAGTATTTATTGCTCACAGACACAAGATGCAGAAGAAGACAAGAAGAGAGGCTGGTAAAATATGTGTTCCTGCATCGGGTTTAAAATGTGACGTAATGAAAGGTGCACACTGTTTTATTAATGACTGATGACTCATTTGTTTTTCTCCGATTGAGACCAAAGTAATAGTTGTAGATTTTGGGAGATATGTTTATTTCCCTCTCTTTTTGTAAGTTAGATAAGAATATCAATACTGCTCTAATGTAGGTCTGTTAAATATGTGACTGGAGCCAGCAGCTGGTTAGCGTAGCTTAGCACAAAGCATGGAAACAAGTGGAAGCTGCTAGCCTGGCTCTTCCCAAATCTGTGTACAAGCACTTCTAAAGTAAGGGATTTTCAACTTTGTTCAACCACTTGTTAATTTAAAAAAAATAATCTGAGGAACATCTTCCCTGATAAATAAGAAAAAACAACATATCATGACAAAAACATAAATGAAAAACAACTTGGCCGTGCATATATTGAACAGAATAGGTGATGAAACCAAATGGATATGGGTCATGTTTCTTCTGAGGGTCGTTTCCTCATCCCTTTTTCTGATAATCGTAACATGATATCTTGTTTGTTTAATCCGGACAAGGGAAAAAGCAGCAAGTAGCGTTTTACCTATTTACTTTACCCTTCTTGTCATCATATTAAGAGCAGAGACTCTAGGAAGTTACTACAACCATCCAAAAAACTAAAAGTCCCCCATCCCCCCTTAAAACCACAAATATATTGATTTATTTTTGGTATATAAATCAAAGAAGATATCATGTGTTTATATAAGAGCCAGGCTAGATGTTAACTCCTATCTCCAGTCTTTACGCTAAGCTAAGCTAATAGCTAAGCCTAATTTTTAACAGATATGACATTTTTAAAGGTCACCTATTATGCAAAACCCACTTCTTCATGTCTCTTCTACATCAACATGTGTCCCCTCTTCTTCATGTCTCTTCTACATCAACATGTGTCCCCTCTTCTTCATGTCTCTTCTACATCAACATGTGTCCCCTCTTCTTCGTGTCTCTTCTACATCAACATGTGTCCCCTCTTCTTCATGTCTCTTCTACATCAACATGTGTCCCCTCTTCTTCATGTCTCTTCTACATCAACATGTGTCCCCTCTTCTTCATGTCTCTTCTACATCAACATGTGTCCCCACTTGTTCATGTCTCTTCTACATCAACATGTAGGAAAAAATATTCTCTTTTTGTCCTGATCCATTTCTATAAAAACCTGTCTGAAAATGAGCTGATCAGATTTTGGCCACTTTATGATGTCATAACGATGTTTTGTCTTGTGTAACCATTAGCCAATCACCAACCAAGGTAACCCCCCCCCCCACCTGATCACCTGCATCTCCTCCTAGAGCACCATTGTGTTCTTTCTAACCAAATCTCTCTCAGAGGGGCGTGGGGAGGGGCTCCTTATTTTCATCTAAAGTAACAGACAGAGAATCAGCACTTTTGAAACAGGGCTGAAACAGAGGGGATTATGGGTAATGCTGCAATGATCTGCACTTCAGAGACATGTTTGTATATATCTGAGACCTGTAATATATTGATGAAAAACAGTATAATAGGGGACCTTTAAATCTTTGAACTCGGGTTCAGAGGACTAACTCTGAGTGGATGCATGTGTGTCTTTGGTTTCTTCAGGACTTCAGGGAGAAGAACACTGACCACATGCGCCCCGACATCGTGGCTTTGCTCAAGAGCAGCAAGAACGCCTTCATCTGCAGCCTGATGGGAATCGACCCCGTGGCGACCTTCCGCTGGGCCGTGCTGCGGGCGTACTTCAGAGCCATGGTGGCTTTCAGGGAGGCCGGCCGCAGACACACACACAAGAAAACTGGTGAGGAAACGTCTTTAAGTTCTATAGGGAGTTTTGAAAATGAGTTGTGCTTCTGCTGTTGATGATGATGAAGGATGAGGATGAAGATATGTTTTAGTCTTCTTCTGCAGTGTTTATTTTCACAAACTAGGAGGAGTGTATGAAAATATCAACACTGACTTATTTCAGAGGAGTGTGTGTTTATTTGTCTCTAATTCCTATCTTCTTCGTCCCCCTCGTGTTTTGTTTCGGCTGCTTTTCTTCTCCCGTTTGTTAATCCACCTTCTTCCTTCTCATCTTACTTCTTGAAATAAAAAAAGTGCCCCCACCTCGGTACCGCAAGTAAATACCGCTATTAATTAGGCGACGGGGGGCTAGTGACTTATCTGACCGGCCCACCTCGATACCGCAAGTAAATACCGCTATTAATTAGGCGACGGGGGGCTAGTGACTTATCTGACCGGCCCACCTCGGTACCGCAAGTAAATACCGCTATTAATTAGGCGACGGGGGGGCTAGTGACTTATCTGACCGGCCCACCTCGGTACCGCAAGTAAATACCGCTATTAATTAGGCGACGGGGGGCTAGTGACTTATCTGACCGGCCCACCTCGGTACCGCAAGTAAATACCGCTATTAATTAGGCGACGGGGGGCTAGTGACTTATCTGACCGGCCCACCTCGGTACCGCAAGTAAATACCGCTATTAATTAGGCGACGGGGGGCTAGTGACTTATCTGACCGGCCCACCTCGGTACCGCAAGTAAATACCGCTATTAATTAGTCGACGGGGGGGCTAGTGACTTATCTGACCGCCCCACCTCGGTACCGCAAGTAAATACCGCTATTAATTAGTCGACGGGGGGCTAGTGACTTATCTGACCGGCCCACCTCGGTACCGCAAGTAAATACCGCTATTAATTAGGCGACGGGGGGCTAGTGACTTATCTGACTGCCCCACCTCGGTACCGCAAGTAAATACCGCTATTAATTAGGCGACGGGGGGCTAGTGACTTATCTGACCGCCCCACCTCGGTACCGCAAGTAAATACCGCTATTAATTAGGCGACGGGGGGCTAGTGACTTATCTGACCGGCCCACATCGTCCGACCGGCCCACTTCAGTACCGGCCCATCGCGATTCGTCCCGATGGCCAGTCCGCTACTGGTGGGTTGGTGGGTGGGAAAGTGGTGGGATTGAAATGCAGATTTTGATTTGTCAGCATGTGTGTATATGTCTTTACTGAATCTGTATCACTTGCTTTTGTTAAAAAACTGAGAAAATCAATACAAATATTTACTATAAATATCCTGATTCTGGGAATTGAAAAGAAAAGTTTAAAGGTCAAAGGTGGGTTCGAGAAACAGTAAAACAGGGATAAATGTGTTGTCTGGGGATGCAACATGGACGAAAGAGAAGGATGAAAGGAATATAAAACGGTTAGAAAAGTATCAAAATAACTATAATTTCACAGGAAGACTCTGGGTTTGAGAATTTGGTTCGGGGTCAAATATCTGGAACAGTCCGCTGCAACTCTGACTACTTTTAAATCCAGGCTGAAGACTTTCTTTATGCCGCTGCTTTTAATTGAACTATTCACATCTTACGCTGCACTGTAACCTTTATTCATGTATACCTGGGTTATTCATTATCTTTGCTTTTTAATGTTTCTAATGTGTTTTATGCTCTTAATGACTTTCATTTTTGTAAAGCACTTTGAATTGCCTTCTGTTGAAAAGTGCTGTATAAATAAACTTGCCTTCCCCTTTGTCCCCCCTCTCTGTTTCAGGGAGCGATGCAGCGGTCCCCTGTGCTGTGGTCAAGACCGTGGACAGCTTCAGTTTCCTCCATCACCCGGTTCACCAGAGGAGCCTCGAGATCCTGCAGAGATGCAAAGACGAGAAATACAGTAAGTTTACAGTTATCAGGTCCACCTCAGACGATACAAGTATATCTGATCGTATTAAATGAGTTCATTTAATTGTCTGCTTTTTTAAAACAATTTATATGTTTTTTATTTTGAAATTGTTACGTTTATTCTGGTTTGTTTTGTGTTTGTATTTTTTATTTTAAATGTATTTATTTAATGTTTTGTGGGCTGAGCTGTGTGATTGTATATGTTATGTATCTCTCTGTACAGCTCTTTGGTCTGGAGGTTTTAAAGTGCTATATAAATAAAGTTGGATTGGATTTAAGAAGTCAAAAATACACTATATAAAAGCTATTTCTTTAGGGTGGTGTCGGCTGATTTTCACACTTCTTTTTCAATATTTTCAGCCAATTCCACCTTTTTGTAAATTAGAAATTGAGAAATTTGAAAGCATAAAAGAGAATGAAGGTTAATATCAAGACAGCCATTGTGCCACGTTATATTCTAATACAAAACGCTTCGATCTGTTGATTTCAGAACGTAGAAGAAAGTGCAACCTACTAACATTTGAAATATAGATTTCTTTCTATAACAAAACTAGATGTTCACAAGTCATTTGACTTTTTTGTTTTAATAATCTTTCTCCTTCAAATAAATTGCTAAGGCCTTTTTCTCAAAGTGTTTGTGAGTATTTGTCAAATATAATATCAGTGAAAGAAAACCAATTAATTTAGCTTAAATCAGCGCTCTAATTGAGATATTAAAACAATGAGCCACATTAACAGCTGTTCTTAGAAATGTATTCCTTTTCTTCAGCATCAAATTATTTTGAAACTGGACTTCAAACATAAAATGGAGTGTAATTTAACACTCGACTCATCAGAGCAGACTTACGAGGGTGCTCTCTGTTAATGTGGTTTATAATGGCATGGATTCCTCTCGATAAAGGTCTGTTAAATTGAAGTGAGACGTGCTCCTACTTTTAAAATCCCAATCAGAGGCCGTTCACTAAGCTCGAGGAATTAATTCCAGGCTGAATTGAAAAAGTCTTTGCTCTTCAACTTGGGAATAATGGACCACTTTTTTTTCAGCCTCGCTAAGCTGCTTTTATTAGAGCTGGTAATAAGATATTGGAAATCGGACATGTGGGTCATTTCGAGCTCTGGTCCGATTGCCTCACCTCTCAGCAGAGATTTAGTTCCCACGCATGAGCGATCAGACAAATGAATCAGTCGTGTGTGAACCGGCAGCGTTTAATGACGCCGCCTTGATTTTCTGTCACACATTTGGCTTCAGATCTGAACGTATGTGTCCGTACATGTGGGACTGAGTGTGTCATTGTGTGTTTTAACCTCCAAGTGTCACATGTTGTAAAGCAGCATTTTTTTGTTTTCATGCACATCACTCCAGTTGGATTTAACTGGAATTGAAGAAAGAAAATTCCCCCAAGGAGTTTCCTACACAGTCCACAGATTTGACACATCAATATGAGCACTGTAGTCTTTGTTCATACCACCACGTCTGTAAAATCAGTTATTATAATGTCTTTGGTTGCTCTGAAGAAATATAAAAATAACTCTTTTGAAAGCGCACTAATAAGCTTTTTGTGGTTTTCCTTTATTTAGAGTGTTATATAGGTTTTGTGCATGTCAATGGTCTGCTAAGGCTAAAATCCCAAAGTTCCCAGAAAATTAGGTTCTACTACTCTCTGCTTAAGAGAGAATTTGCACTTTTTCTGGCTTTTATTGTCATTCGTACGTAGCTACAGTGTAGTTATGTCGATGAAAATCTTAGGTCACAGGCTCCTGCAACAGTGCAACACAATAAAACAGAAAAAATAGTGCAAGTAAATACAATAAAATAGAATAGAAGATTGACATTTTTTGCGAAATGAGTCATTGTGTAGTGAAAGCAGTGAGAAAACCACAAATATAAACTGGAAACACCCAGCTCATTAGCTGCTTGTTTTCATATGCAATATCTCTATTGGCACTGCACTCCCAAAACCAACGAGACACACACACACACACACACACACACACACACACACACACACACACACACACACACACACACACACACACACACACACACACACACACACACACACACACACACACACACACACACACACACCACACACACAAAGCGCTTGGGGCCAACTCGGGAAAAGTAAAGCCAGTCTAAGGCAAGAGCAACATTAATTTTCAGTTGTAGCCAGAGAGAGAGAGAGATAGAGGAAGGGAAGTTGGATAATAAGCGTAAACGTCACAGGGTGTCCATGGGAAAAGCAGCCGGGTTATTATTGGTAAAGATGAGAGGATGGTGTGTCTTGATGTTCATGTAGGAGATGAAGGTGTAGATACATCCAGTGAGTTTGTAATCAGTGTCTTTCTCTCTTCTCCTGCCATAAAGGCATCAGCAGGAAGAACCCCCGCACTCCTCTGTCAGATCTTCAGGGCACCAACGCTCTGAACGAGAAGGCCAGCTGGTGAGTACCAACCAAAACGTGTCATCATAGTCGAGTAAAAAACAGATCAAGGACGTGGAGGGTTTTGTTTCTTGTCTTCAGTGCGTTGGAAGGTACTTGGGAAGTCTTCATTTAAAAACAAGGACAAATGATGGGGTAGATAAGGGGGAGGTGGGAGACTAGTTGGGGGTCAGAGATAATCTTTCAGTTTGTGTGTCCACACAGAGATCAAAATACCGCTTCCCACAATATATAAAAATATGTATATCCTATATATACACAATCAACAGACACATTTAGACATATGCTCTCCTCCTCCCCTCCTCCCCTCCTCCCCTCCTCCCCTCCTCCTCCCTTCCTCCCCTCCTCCTCCCTTCCTCCCCTCCTCCCCCCTACAGGGACAGCTTTGGTTGTAACGGTCGCAGCTCCAGGTCTGGTCGTGTTTCTTCGACAGGAAGTCCCGCCCTGGAAGAAGAAGGCATCTTCATCAACTCGACCAGCAGCAAACTCCTGGAGAGAGCTCAGGGCATCCTACTGTGAGTCACACACACACACACACACACACACACACACACACACACACACACACACACACACACACACACACACACACACACACACACACACCACACACACACACACACACACACACACACACACACCTACAACACACCTACACACACACACACACACACACCACACACATACACACACACACACACACTCGCACACACGCACGCACAAATACACAGAATTATTGTGTTAATTTCTTTGAATGAAATACAATATGTCTCCCCTGTAGGAGGAACAAAAACATCAAAAGCAAGCCGAGCCTTCCCAAGGTAAGACTCAAATATCAGGACTGCACAGAGTCCTCACGCCTCTTTTGAATGACCCTTTCCCATTAAATTAAAAGAAACAAACAATAATGAAGCACTTAAAAAGGTTTGGCATATTTGAATCTTATGTACTCACAGGATTATTGCAGTTTTTAATGTGGATAAAAGCATCAGCTAGATTACATGAAATACAATGAAATGTAACATGGCAACATCTTAAAGGTCACCTATTATGCAAAATCCACTTTTCTACATCACCATGTGTCCCCTCTGTGGAAAGAGACTCTGGAAGTTTCAGGAACAAAGATTCTCTCCCTTTTTGTCCTGATCCATTTCTATAAAAACCTGTCTGAAAATGAGCTGATCAGATTTTGGCCACTTTATGATGTCATAACGATTTCTTGGCTCGTGTAGCCATTAGCCAATCACCAACCAAGGTAACCCCCCCCCCCCCCACCTTATCACCTGAATCTCCTCCTAGAGCACCATTGTGTTCTTTTTAACCAAATCTCTCTCAGAGGGGCGTGGGGAGGGGCTCCTTATTTTCATCTAAAGTAACAGACAGAGAATCAGCACTTTTGAAACAGGGCTGAAACAGAGGGGATTATGGGTAATGTTGCAATGATCTGTTTGGTGTTTGGAGCCAAACACTTCAGAGACATGTTCTGTATATATCTGAGACCTATAATATATTGATGAAAAACAGTATGATAGGGGACCTTTAAGAATCACGAAGGTGTTTTTCAGCCTCCGTCACATCCTCTCGTATGTTCTGGTTCTGTGATTGCAGCACTTGTTGGACATTAAGTCTCTGCGGTACCTGAGCAGCGTGACGCTCCACGACCGCATCACCAAGTCTCTGCTCCACCTGCACAAGAAGAAGAAGCCGCCCAGCATCAGCGCTCAGTTTCAGGTCAGTTCTGCCCCCTGCTGGAAGATTAGTGAATTACAACAACATTAGTGACTCAGCAGCAGCCTGTAGTGATTAGAAATATACATGAATATCCTACTATCCTAAGTCAAACATTTAACAGGACAAGAGCTTTAATGTGTTTTCCCATAATAGTGTAATTTTAGCAGATTTGAAAAAACTGTACAAAACCACTTAATAAGCTTAAAGTGCTCATTTTGCAGAACAGTCTATATTATATTATTTGATTCTAATCACTAAAAGAATAATAAAGGTAGGCCTTTCGTGTTGCATCTGGTGAAGGAGGGGTAGACTTTAATTACTTAATACACTGCTCTGCAACTTAACCCTAGTTTATATAGATTGATTTTCTTGTTAGTACTTGTTGTATTAATAAACTAAATCACAGCATTATTCTCTACAATTGTATTTTGTGTTTGTGTGTGCAGGCGTCCCTCAATAAGCTGATGGAGACTCTCGACCAATCAGAGCCGTACTTTGTGAAGTGTATTCGCTCCAACGCTGAGAAGGTAAGTTCTGGTGCAAAATAATCATCATGTTAATACTTCTCTTAATGACTATCTTCTGTTTTTTTGTATTAATACTTTCTCTCTCTCTCTCTTTATGTCAGCTGCCGTTGCGTTTCAACGACAGCCTGGTGCTCCGACAGCTCAGATACACGGGCATGCTGGAGACCGTCCGGATCCGACAGTCCGGATACAACATCAAGTACACCTTCCAGGTAATATTCCACTACTTATATCTAACTACCAGAGATGGCAAAAGTACACACATCTTTTACTCAAGTAGAAGTACAGATAATCGTGTTTAAAAATACTCTGGTAAAAGTAGAAGTACTGACTAAACTTCTTTACTGAAGTCAAAGTAAAGAAGCTTTGAAATGTACTTCAGTAAAAAGTACCCATAACTAGCAGCTGTTTTAAAGAGTACCTGACCTCCCTTTATATCAATAGAACAATAATGTCATTGTTAGCTAATGAATGTTTCCATGCTGAACAACGGCAACATGACAACGTTTCCATTGGTCCCTCTTCTTTAGAGAAGACCAGGAAATGATGGATACACGGATCGTGTTCAAATCAATAGGCACGCAATGACTCTAAAGAATAATGATCACGCACCAAACACACATTCAGACTAAAGGAACCAGCTGTTTGGAAAATGAGAGAAGTAGAAAGTACAAGTATTTGTGTTCAACATGTAAGAAGTAGAAAGTACAGGTGTTTGTGTTCAACATGTAAGAAGTAGAAAGTACAGGTGTTTGGGTTCAACATGTAAGAAGTAGAAAGTACAGGTATTTGTATTCAACATGTAAGAAGTAGAAAGTACAGGTATTTGAGTTCAACATGTGAGAAGTAGAAAGTACAGGTATTTGTGTTCAACATGTAAGAAGTAGAAAGTACAGGTATTTGAGTTCAACATGTAAGAAGTAGAAAGTACAGGTATTTGTATTCAACATGTAAGAAGTAGAAAGTACAGGTATTTGAGTTCAACATGTAAGAAGTAGAAAGTACAGGTATTTGAGTTCAACATGTAAGAAGTAGAAAGTACAGGTATTTGAGTTCAACATGTAAGAAGTAGAAAGTACAGGTATTTGTGTTCAACATGTAAGAAGTAGAAAGTACAGGTATTTGAGTTCAACATGTAAGAAGTAGAAAGTACAGGTATTTGTGTTCAACATGTAAGAAGTAGAAAGTACAGGTATTTGAGTTCAACATGTGAGAAGTAGAAAGTACAGGTATTTGAGTTCAACATGTGAGAAGTAGAAAGTACAGGTATTTGGGTTCAACATGTGAGAAGTAGAAAGTACAGGTATTTGTGTTCAACATGTAAGAAGTAGAAAGTACAGGTATTTGTGTTCAACATGTAAGAAGTAGAAAGTACAGGTATTTGAGTTCAACATGTAAGAAGTAGAAAGTACAGGTATTTGTGTTCATCATGTAAGAAGTAGAAAGTACAGGTATTTGTGTTCAACATGTAAGAAGTAGGAAGTACAGGTATTTGAGTTCAACATGTAAGAAGTAGAAAGTACAGGTATTTGTGTTCAACATGTAAGAAGTAGAAAGTACAGGTATTTGAGTTCAACATGTAAGAAGTAGAAAGTACAGGTATTTGTGTTCAACATGTAAGAAGTAGAAAGTACAGGTATTTGAGTTCAACATGTAAGAAGTAGAAAGTACAGGTATTTGAGTTCAACATGTAAGAAGTAGAAAGTACAGGTATTTGTGTTCAACATGTAAGAAGTAGAAAGTACAGGTATTTGTGTTCAACATGTGAGAAGTAAAAGTCTTCCGAAAAATAAGTGGTGGAGTACTGATACCAGAAAAATGTACTTAAGTTCAGTATCGAAGTATTTGTACCTCTGCTAACTTCAGATCTAAGATTATGCCGTGTCAGTGGTACAATTGTATTTATTTCTAGCATTTGCCAGCTAATTAGCATAGTTAACATCTGTATTTCCATGTTTAAATGTGTATTGTATTGTTTCTTGCTTTGCCCTTTTCATATTGTATGCATTGCATACATGTAGGGCTGCTCAATTAATCGTATTTTAATCGCGATTACGATTATGGCTTGCAACGATTACGAAAGCAACGTAATCGAAATAAAACGATTATTTTTGTATTATTACTTTTTTTTAATTTTTTTTAAATACTTTTTTTTCAGTTGAATTTTTTCAGTTGAATTAAACTTAAAGTTCAGGGTAATCAACTGTTAAAAACATACTGTTCAAATGTTTTTTCTCCAATAAATGAATGTTTTCAAAGTCAATGAATAATCTCATTTAATAATCGCAATTACAATTATTGACCCAAATAATCGAGATTATGATTTTTGCCATAATCGAGCAGCCCTACATACATGTTATATTACTGATCTTTAATATATATTTTTTAAGCTGTATGTACCCTGCTGTTTATTGCGTTTGGCACTGTGTGTAGACGGAACACTGCAAGCTGTTGATAACACGTTGTTTTTGTATGACTCAAACTCATACTTGGCAAATAAAGCAGATTCTGATTCTTATCTTAGTTTGTAATGCTGCACACATATGGCTAGATATTGAGATACTCAGGTATTCATCTACTAGCAATACAGTTGTTATAATGTCATCTTTACATTTTGAATTAAATAGCAGCCATATATATTTGCTATATTGAGACACTTAAATGTTCTATACCCTGGGGGAGATTTCAAATCAATCTCAGTTTACCCTGACGCCCCCATATGTATTTAAAGCTTCTTTACTGACCACACCTTCCCCATGTTGCAGGACTTTGTGCGTCACTTTCACATTCTGCTGCCTCGAGGCACGAGCCCCACCAAGTCGGGCATCAGGGAGTTCTTCAGACGGATCCACCTGCCGCCTGCTGGGTATCAAGTGGGAAACACCATGGTAGGGACCATTTTATCTTTAAAGGTCCCCTATTATGCAAAATCCACTTCTTCACATCTCTTCTACATCAACATGTGTCCCCTCTTCTCCATGTCTCTTCTACATCAACATGTGTCCCCTCTTCTTCATGTCTCTTCTACATCAACATGTGTCCCCTCTTCTCCATGTCTCTTCTACATCAACATGTGTCCCCTCTTCTTCATGTCTCTTCTACATCAACATGTGTCCTCTCTTCTTCATGTCTCTTCTACATCAACATGTGTCCCCTCTTCTTCATGTCTCTTCTACATCAACATGTGTCCCCTCTTCTTCATGTCTCTTCTACATCAACATGTGTCCTCTCTTCTTCATGTCTCTTCTACATCAACATGTGTCCCCTCTTCTTCATGTCTCTTCTACATCAACATGTGTCCCCTCTTCTTCATGTCTCTTCTACATCAACATGTGTCCCCTCTTCTTCATGTCTCTTCTACATCAACATGTGTCCTCTCTTCTTCATGTCTCTTCTACATCAACATGTGTCCCCTCTTCTTCATGTCTCTTCTACATCAACATGTATCCCCTCTTCTTCATATCTCTTCTACATCAACATGTGTCCCCTCTTCTCCATGTCTCTTCTCCATCAACATGTGTCCCCTCTTCTTCATGTCTCTTCTTCATCAACACGTGTCCCCTCTTCTTCATGTCGCTTCTTCATCAACATGTGTCCCCTCTTCTTCATGTCATCTTCTTCATCACATGTGTCCCCTCTTCTTCATGTCTCTTCTTCAATCAACATGTGTCCTCCTCTTCTTCCTGTCTCTTCTACATCAACATGTGTCCCCTCTTCTTCATGTCTCTTCTACATCAACATGTGTCCCCTCTTCTTCATGTCTCTTCTACATCAACATGTGTCCTCTCTTCTTCATGTCTCTTCTACATCAACATGTGTCCCCTCTTCTTCATGTCTCTTCTACATCAACATGTGTCCCCTCTTCTTCATGTCTCTTCTACATCAACATGTGTCCTCTCTTCTTCATGTCTCTTCTACATCAACATGTGTCCCCTCTTCTTCATGTCTCTTCTACATCAACATGTGTCCCCTCTTCTTCATGTCTCTTCTACATCAACATGTGTCCCCTCTTCTTCATGTCTCTTCTACATCAACATGTGTCCTCTCTTCTTCATGTCTCTTCTACATCAACATGTGTCCCCTCTTCTTCATGTCTCTTCTACATCAACATGTATCCCCTCTTCTTCATATCTCTTCTACATCAACATGTGTCCCCTCTTCTCCATGTCTCTTCTCCATCAACATGTGTCCCCTCTTCTTCATGTCTCTTCTACATCAACATGTGTCCCCTCTTCTTCATGTCTCTTCTTCATCAACATGTGTCCCCTCTTCTCCATGTCTCTTCTCCATCAACATGTGTCCCCTCTTCTTCATGTCTCTTCTTCATCAACATGTGTCCCCTCTTCTTCATGTCTCTTCTACATCAACATGTGTCCCCTCTTCTTCATGTCTCTTCTCCATCAACATGTGTCCCCTCTTCTCCATGTCTCTTCTCCATCAACATGTGTCCCCTCTTCTTCATGTCTCTTCTTCATCAACATGTGTCCCCTCTTCTTCATGTCGCTTCTTCATCAACATGTGTCCCCTCTTCTTCATGTCTCTTCTTCATCAACATGTGTCCCCTCTTCTTCATGTCTCTTCTTCATCAACATGTGTCCCCTATTCTTCATGTCTCTTCTTCATCAACATGTGTCCCCTCTTCATCATGTCTCTTCTACATCAACATGTGTCCCCTCTTCTCCATGTCTCTTCTACATCAACATGTGTCCCCTCTTCTTCATGTCTCTTCTACATCAACATGTGTCCCCTCTTCTTCATGTCTCTTCTACATCAACATGTGTCCCCTCTTCTTCATGTCTCTTCTACATCAACATGTGTCCTCTCTTCTTCATGTCTCTTCTACATCAACATGTGTCCCCTCTTCTTCATGTCTCTTCTACATCAACATGTGTCCCCTCTTCTTCATGTCTCTTCTACATCAACATGTGTCCCCTCTTCTTCATGTCTCTTCTACATCAACATGTGTCCTCTCTTCTTCATGTCTCTTCTACATCAACATGTGTCCTCTCTTCTTCATGTCTCTTCTACATCAACATGTGTCCCCTCTTCTTCATGTCTCTTCTACATCAACATGTGTCCCCTCTGTGTAAAGAGATTCAGAAAGTTTCAAGAAAAAAGATTCTCTCTCTTTTTGCCCTGATCCATTTCTATAAAAACCTGTTTTTGGCCACTTTATGATGTCATAACGATGTTTTGTCTTGTGTAGCCATTAGCCAATCAGCAACCAAGGTAACCCCCCCCCCACACCTTATCACCTGAATCTCCTCCTAGAGCACCATTGTGTTCTTTTTAACCAAATCTCTCTCAGAGGGGCGTGGGGAGGGGCTCCTTATTTTCATCTAAAGTAACAGACAGAGAATCAGCACTTTGGAAACAGGGCTGAAACAGAGGGGATTATGGGTAATGCTGCAATGATCTGTTTGGTGTTTGGAGCCAAACACTTCAGAGACATGTTCTGTATATATCTGAGACCTATAATATATTGATGAAAAACAGCAGGGACCTTTAATGTCCGAGCTATTTTAGTGGCAGGCTTATTGAAATGTTGCTCTGATGTAGGTGTTCCTGCGGGAGGCGGAGCGGCAGCGTCTTCAGACTCTCCTCCACCAGGAGGTCCTGCGGAGGATCGTCACGCTGCAGCGCCGCTTCAGAGCCGTCCTGGAGAGGAAGCACTTTTTGGAAATGAGGAGAGCTGCCTTCGTCATCCAGGTGAGATCTTTTGGGTGGGAAAAGAGTTCTGAGATTTCGTTTATGGATTTAAAACAATATTTCAGATTATGATTAGCTCTAAAATGGTTGCTGTGAGTGCATTATGAATCAATTTAACAATCCTGCACAGCCAAGTTTTCGTAGTGCATTAAGCACTACTTAGAGTGTTTAGGCATTACGTGATTAATACTGGTTCATTTACTCTAGATATACAGGGATGTAAATATAGCCTCCCCATTAAAAAAGATCGATCCAGTTATTAATATAGCTTTGACTGCTTTTAATATTATTGTCTCTCTTTCCTAAATAGATTTCTACTATTGAAACATGTTAAATCATATTGTAACAACATGATAACTTCATAAAAAACGTTTTAAAGTGTAACTTACATTAGAAACCCTTTAATATCTTATTCGTGCTTACCTTTGTTAGTTCCTCTGTGTGACAAAATAGTTAGTCTTACTGTAAACATTTCGATTTAAAGAAGACCTATTGTGCTCATTTTCTGTGGCGTGGGGGAATGTGTGGAAAAGGGATTTTTGCTAATGTGGCTATTGCCCACAGTATTGAGTGCATGTAAGTCGCTTTGGGTAAAAGCCTCAACAAGTGATAAGTGAGGTTTTTCTAATCTGGAGGGACTGAAATGGGAAATATTGGGGGGGGATAAATTGTTCGTGTGCATCAAACATAAAGGGGAAAACTAGTAAATATTAGCATGTTTTTGTCAACTCAAACTAGGGCTGCTCAATTAATCGTATTTTAATCGCGATTACGATTATGGCTTGCAACGATTACGAGAACAACGTAATCGAAATAAAACGATTCTTTTTTTATTATTATTACTTTATAATTATTATTATTATAATTACTTTTCAGTTGAATTATACTTAAAGTTCAGGGTAATCAACTGTTAAAAACATACTGTTAAAAAAATGTTCTCCTATAAATGGATGTTTTCAAAGTCAATGAATAATCACATTTAATAATCGCAATTACAATTATTGACCCAAATAATCGAGATTATGATTTTTGCCATAATCGAGCAGCCCTAACTCAAACAATGATTTGCTTTATACTTGGAAGTCTACTGCCCATTCTGATAGAAATGGATTAACATCCACAACCAGACTGTATTTCCATTGAACACATAGTTTCCCTTTTTCTGCAGCGATGGTGGCGATGCTGCCTTCTCAAACAGTCCACCATGGACCGGGAGGAGGAGGAGGAAGAGGAGGAGGAGGCGGCGGCGGTGTGTGTGCAGGCGGCCTGGAGGAGCTACAGGCAGCGACGGAGGTTCCTGCAGTGGCGAGACTCTGCCGTCGTCATCCAGAGGAGCTGGAGGAAGTGCCGGCAGCGCAGATCTGAGGCAGCCGTAAGCATCCAATCAGCCTGGAGAGGATTCAGGGAGCGGAGCCGCTACCGCAGGACGAGCAGGGCGGTGACGCTGCTGCAGGCCAGAGGCAGGGGACACCTGGCCAGACTCAGGTGAATCATGTTATAATAATCAGATTCATAATCAGATTACATTTAGTTGTATTCAAGATTCAAGGCTTGTATTGTCATGTGTGCATAGCTACAGTGTAGTTCTGACAATGGACATCTTAGGTCCCAGGCTCCTCCAACAGGGCAACACAATAAACAGATAAAATAGTGCAAGTAAATACAATGAAATAGAATATAGTAGAAGTAGTGCAGAATAGTCTGTACAAGATGCAGATGTTGTAGAAAGAATTATGAAATTGTGTGAAAGGAGAGGTTTCATTTTCTGTCAGATCTGAGTTAATTTTTCGTTCATAAAAACCTTCTTTAGGCATCAAGATCTTTGAAAATCTGTATTCCAAAAAACAATAAAATATCTGGGGTTTAGCTTTGAATAAAATATATTGTAATAAATAATAGTAATAAATAATAATAATGCAAACAATGCGGTTTGAGTGAACTGTTTTTTTTGTATTACGTAAAAGGATTATGGTGCATAATCAGCTTCTCTTAGGGGCACATTATGTCCCACTTTACTCTCTTGAAGCTTCTTAGCGAGCAGGCGGATCGTCTTTTGTTTTGTAAAACAATATAATCAGCATCTTCTTGCAAGCAGGAAGTTTTGATTTAGGATAGGGGATTGTTTAAAGCAGCTATGATCAATAATGTATATTAATAAGGACATGCAGAACCACTTGTAGGGGGGGATTAGTAATACATCCACAGAGAACTAAATACATTTGTTTAAATAAAAAAATGTGTTGGCATTCTTGCAGGTTAGTGTGGATGTGGAAGTCTGTAGAAACCACAAATTCGATTTGTCTTTTTAGCTAAATGTGTGTGTTCATTTGTTATATGACATGTTCTGCCTGCTCTGTATGGAGACCTTTGCTAATCACACTCTTGCATTCTCCACTTATAAGGTTCAGGGACGTGAAGGAGCAGCATGAGAGACATCAGAGTCCAGCAGCAGCAGAGATGGATGCAGGAACCATCGAGGACCTCACCTCATCAGGACAGGAAGTTTGCGATCAGGATATTTCAGTAGAACTGACTGAAGACCCTCAGCCCGCCGTGTTAGACGGGGGAGACATGGAGAGAGAGGAGGACTCTGAGCGGAGCAGGAGCATGAGCATGGACGAGACCAGCGATAAGATCAGGATAAAGAGAAAGAGCCGACGGATGAGAGAGCTGGAGCAGGCTCAGTTCAGCTTAGAGCTTCTGAAGGTCCGGACCACCAGCGTGCAGGAAGAGTCCGTCCCTGAAACCAGCACCTGTGCTCTGGCAGACCCTCACAGACTTTCCCCTCGGGGGTCTCCAGCTAGTCACGGTAGTTTTGAGCTCCTCAGTGTGGAGGACATGGAGACCAACGGCTCTGGAGGTGTTATCCCAGAGTCTACTGCACTGCATATGCAACTACACGAGAGAGACGCTAACTTTAATGAAAAGCCAGTGATGGAGCCGCCAAACAAAGCAGATGGTGGGAGGGCAACGTTTTATATCGCTTCTGACCAAAGTCCAGTTCACGAACCAACATTCGAAAGCCCCAGCAAATCTGAGAGAAGGGAGTTGACGTCTCGGAGGCCTGTGGTGGTCCTGATCAGTATGCAGAAGGAGAGTCCATTGGAGGAGGGGGAGCTGCTGGCAGCCCACATCCTAGAAGGAGCTTCTGAAGCAGCATCAGCCCCCGAAATGACCCCCGCTACAGACCCAGAGGTTGTAGAGATGGAGCAACCTGTAGGGATTGTTACCCAGCCTGAGAGTGATGTATGTGGGGCGGACAAATCCCCTGAAGTCCCGTCTTTAAGTCCAGAATCCGGGGTCTGCTCCTCAGAGGTGGACATCCAGATCATCCCGCAGCCGAAGCCCAGCATCCCCCCCGCCCCCCCCCGGCAGCCCGAGAGGAAGACGAGCCGCCCGGCGCAGGACGCCCCGAGCCCCGTGCTGGACACCAAACCTCCCAAAGCCCAGAAGAAGAGCTCGGCCCAGACTGTGATCGTGAACATGGTGGAGAAACCCTCCAACAGCGTGTTCTCCCCGCCCAGACGCAAGCTGCCATTCTCCAAGTAAGCTTGACACCATACTGAAAACATTTTATTCACATAATCTTTTACATAAAGTACCAAATCTGCTTTTAGAAAAACTCAAATTAACTCAAAACCCCATTGAAATCATAACAACAGAGGACTTTTCTGACTAAATCATTTTTGGAAAAGTCCAAACACTTATTTAAATCATAAAAAATGTAATAAACATTATTCTCAGTAACATGACTTAGATAAGGGGTGCCCAATACATAGATCGCGATCGACCGGTCGATTGAGAAGTCAGTGTGGGTAGATCGCATGGCATTGAAAACATTTAAATAAAAAATATATATTTTCTTTTTTTTTTGGTCATTTTAAAAGTAGCTCCCAAGCTGAAAAAGTGTGGGCACCCCTGACTTAGATAATACATAACAAATATGAATACAATTGTTGAATAACTTAACCTCAAATATTCAGTAGCATTGCTTTCAGGCCTGCGACCAAACATTTTCAGAAGATGTATGTATTTGTGTACTGCTTTTAATTCTACTGGAGAAATGAGATTATTTCTATAGAAGCATCGATAGAGTGAAGACAAATATAAAGTACCTTTGTGCCTTTTGTTTAATGTTACATTTTTCTGGTTCTGTGTTGCAGGTCAGATAAGGATTTGGTGAACCAGGAAAGATCTCTCGCCATGTTCAGAGACGACTCTAAATCTGGGTCCAGAAACAGAGAGGTAGGACACACACACACACACACACACACACACACACACACACACACACACACACACACACACACACACACACACACACACACACACACACACACACACACACACACACACACACACACACACACACACACACACACACACACACACACACACACACACACACACACACACACACACACACACAGGAACAACTCAAGCTGCTCCTCACCCACCACAGGTTTGATTTCAACCAGAATCATACGCTCTTCGTTTGACTTGAATATAAACAGAAAATAGCTTACAGAAATCAATCCAGAATGGACATACATTCATTATTCCAGATTTAAAAAGTACAAATAAACACCTACAGCTATTTTACAGTGGATTGATAAACCTGGGGAAATATTGTCTTCCAGAACCAAAGATTAGCCATTTCTTTCTCTAATAAAATATGTTTTTGTTGAATCCAATAAACATGGTTAGTATTTGTTCACATCTGTATACATAACACACACACACACACACACACACACACAACACACACAACCACACACACACACACACACACACACACACACACCACACACACACACACACACACACACACACACACACACACACCACACACACACCACACACACCCACACACACACACACACACACACACACACACACACACACACACACACACACACACACACTCACTCACTCATGTGAGCAGCTGACCTGATGTCCCTGTGGTTGCCTGGGTAGCAGGTGGGTCGCCCCGGCCCCAAAAAGAAAGCGCGAATGTCCCGGACGCGCTCCGACTTCCTGACGCGCTGTAACTCTGAGGGCGCCACGCAGTCCGACGACGACGACGAGTACTACACCCCCGCCCACTCCCACACGCTGCCCCCCCTTCCGTCCCCCCCGCTCGCCCTCCCCGAGGACGACTGTCAAAGTGACTCCGAGATGGTAAAAACACCGGATCTCCGGAGGTCCCATGGCCTCTAAGAAAACCGAATGTTTCCTGTCTCCACTTCTGCTCCTCCACCTTCCTCTCAGGTGGAGCTGTACGAGCGTCAGCAGGAGCCTTTTAACACTTCTAACCCCCTCCCATCGAATATTTCACTACTGTAGGACTGTTTCTGCCCAGCTACAGTCCGACCAATCACACTGATGTTTCTCCGCGTCGCTCCAACACACCGTTACCGTCGCTTTGCACGTCGCTCTGGTGGCTGTCGGTCTGAGAATCAGCATCACCTCGAGGCTCTATCTCTTCATCTTTTTTATTAACAATACACTGAGATTTTAACAGTAAAGACAGACTGAAGATCTTGTCCTGAAAACATGACTTCTGCTGCTCCTGCATGCTGGAGACCTCGAGCAGAGAGACTTCTCACTAACAGCCTTATTTGAACTTAAACGGATCTTACCAGCATGACTTCTGTTTCTCTCTCAACATCTAAAAACATCTCCATCTCTTCAGATTCAGTAGATTTAATATCAGTAGCATAATCAGTAAATCTACTATAACTAGAACCAGAATAATAAGTAATTAACCTCACGATGTCCTCCTGATTTACTATAATCCTGTCCATAAGGCACAAACAAAAACAACCAATCTGTCATTTACAGGAAACTGAGCGCTCTGGACGAGTATATACCGTAAATAATGTTTGTTTCTCACCCGGTTGTTGTTCTCTGCTCTCCAGTCATCTCACAAAGACCAGAAGAAGATCCATAAGACCATGTCGTCAGGAGACCTGGGCAAGGTGGAAGTCCTCAGGAAAACCTCCAGTCAGGATGGAGGGTAAGAGTCTAAAATAACATAATGTATAGAAAAGTATGCTCCTGGTAACTCCAGTGTTAACAGGTTTAATAGCAGACTGCATCAGCTTTAACCGTGATGTAGCAAAAGAGAGATGACACATAGAATATCATTGACAGTGGCGAGCCATCAGGGCCCTCTAGGCCCTCTCTGAAGGCCTAAGATATTCTACAAAATAATATTTAAAAACATTTAAAAAAAAATGTAAATATGTTTTTTTGTTATATTTTTCATTAGTTTTACCAAAATAACTTGATTTAATTGTATTTAAAATAACATTTCCATAGAAATAAATCCTTCGAATCTGGGAATCTGTGAATGTGAAGGGTCAAATGAAAGAAGCTCGTCTCTGCGAGTTACTATGAAGACAGGAGCTGATTGGTGGTCCTGCTGTTAATTCACAGAGGGGCCCGCTATAGTATCTGAACGAGAGACTAATGTCAAATGTACAATTGACCAATCATATCTTCCCTCTAAATGGGTGGGTTTTATTATTGCGGACTTTATGACAAGTTCCGCCCACTGTGAAACTTTTCTTGTTTCCATAGCAACAACAACTTCCTGTCAACAGCGTAAACTCGCCTTCAAAATAAAAGCATGCCAAATTACACTTAAGACATACAACTGCAACGAAAGTAACAAACACAATGCAATACCCTTTTCAATTTCAAAGAACACAAATTGGGTTATTTATAGGTGATGTTTTGTGTGGTGGAGGGTCGCTTTCATTGATGCGCTTTGCACCCCGGGCGGGCCGTTGATTTAATAATCCGCTGTAGTACACGCTGTGACGTAATAACTATTTTTTTTCTTTTTTTCGAGGGAAGGGGTCAGAGGGCCTAGGTATAAAAGTCACGGCTCGCCACTGATCATTAATTTAAAGAAAACACTTACTGACCTTGTATTGAACCTGTGTCTCTTTAGTAGGGTTACTTAACAACTGCAGTGTGACATAGCGATGCATTATTGAGGGACACAAATAATTGACAGCAAATGATAAAATAATTTAGTGTTCTTACATTTTCCATTTAGTTGGGGGTGGGTTAGTGTTTGTATGTTCTTAAATGAATGAAATATAATCAATCAATTGTGTTTTGTGTGATTCAGCAGGATGAAAGGAAGGATACGGTTCTGGAGTAAGACAAAGAGCGAGAAAAAACTGTTGCGAGAGGCCAGCAGGAGCGAATCTGCAGAAGCACATGGTAAAAGAAATGTATCTGCAAACATGATTCAGTTTTGGTTGCCTTCCTCCACAAGGAGATCAGGAGTCATGACGACTAGCTCTGTACAGTAAACTATAGAATACTATTTAATGCAGATTTCAGTATCTGTATTAATGTGGCGGCTACATTGCCATTGAATACGGCCGCTCTGAAGCTAAACTTCGCTCATTGTTGTGACGCGTATAAATAATCAACAACTGAACTCTACGTTTTAAGGATATTTAATATTGTAACTCAAAACAATAAACAGAATCATACAGTCAACAAAAGATATCAGAGCTAACCTCACCCCCATTGTCATGTTACTACATCTTAAACTGCACTGTAACTTTTATCCATGTATTTTTTCTTTTAATGTTTATTTTATTAGCTTTTCTTTTTAATGACTGATTTGAAATGCCATTTTCATTTTTTGTAAAGCACTTTGAATTGCCTTGTGTTGAAAGGTGCTATATAAATAAACTTGCCTTGCCTACTAAACCTCCACATACACCAGGTGCCCTAAATACCATTAACCACACCCATGTGACAATTACCGGAAACAACCCATTACACGTGTCTGTGGTGTTAACAAATAATAAGCTACTAAAGCATTTTGGCTCCTACAATTAACACAAAACCTTATTATCCATCTTCTCTCCACCTTCTTCTCCATGTGTGTCTCTTTCCTCCCAGTAGGCCCTCCTTCTCCTCCTCACATTCCAGATGTGGAGGCCTCCTCTTCCTCTCGGGCGGTCAGTAAGGAGAACAAGGAGCCGTCTCCTAAGATGAGGAGGCGTCGCAGCGTGAAGATCAGCAGCGTTGCTCTGGAGCCGGCGCAGTGGCAGAACGACGCGCTGCACATCCTCAGCTCGGCTCACGACTACCGCACCATGAACGACTTCCTCATGAAGAAGGTCAGAGGGCCAACCTGTAGTTTTGTGTAGATCACCAAAAAAAAGTGTATCTATAAAAGTGTAAAGTTACCTTAAACTCAAGGTTCAAAATCTTCTTAAATACATAAATTGTCAGTTTTCGCAAAATTAGAAGGACACCATATTTGTAAAAATGTTCACGGTTTTGAGATATCAGTCTGTGAGATTTCCACCGCCACCCCAACACAACTGAGGAAAGAAGGTCAGAGGGCAAACCTGTACCTGAACACACACACATATATATACACACACACACACACACACACACACACACACACACACACACACACAAACCCATACTCAAACACACATGCACTGACGTAGTATTTTAGTTTGGTTCTCCCAAAGGCTCTGTTGTCCATTTCATTTAGTTGTGTACAGTATGTATCTGTAGAAGTGCCTTTTAATATATGTAACTTCAATGTTCAGTCCCCTCAAAATTAGAGGGGCATGATTAAAGTTTAATTGTCAGGGTTTGAGATATCTTTCTCCGCCACCCCAACACAACTGAGGTTAATATAATTCTGTTGGTGCAGTTCAAAAGCAGCATTAATAAGATAATTTAAAGTGGACCTATCATGCTATATTTGAATAATATAGTGTAGGACCATACCTATATAAGGCATATTTATACTTTTTATTTTTCAAAATACCAAACAGATCATGCATTTTAGCCATTCCTCATTTCGCTCTATTTAACACTGTCTTTTCATGGGCTGATTCTGTGAGAACAGCACCATCTACAGGCCTGTAATATGTACTACATCGTCTCCAGCGCTTTCGAATGGCAATGTCCGTGGCTGTCTCCTCCTGATTGGTGGAGTTGGACCAATAGCCGTAGCACCACTTCTGTGACGTCATAGAAGTGTTCAAATCTGGATCAGTCTGTATCAGATCCGTTGCAGCCCCGTTTTAAGAGATTTGGGTATAGAGGAAAAGAGAGAGGGTTGTGTTTTCTGACACTTGGTGAGTTCCCTGGAACACCAGGGACACATATTCATGTATAAAAGATGTACAAAAGTGCATTTTGCATGATAGGTCCCCTTTTAAAGAAATCTAAACAGCAACATCTTACTCTGGAGTCAGCGTACCTGTTTTTTGTTAATAACCAGACCTCAATGTTATCAGTTGGCACAAGGACGTGATAGAAAGAAGGCCCGAAATGAATTTTATTTCTGCAGATGAAGATGCATTCACATCCAATTTAGAAGAGGTATAATTGTATAAAAGTATTATATTCAAACGTTTTTTTAGTTTTTTAAACGTGTCTGGTTAAACCTGTGCTGACTTTATTCACCTTATCTACTTGTCATGAGCTTAGCTGTGAACTTCATTATCATTTGTCCCTGCAGATCGCCGACCTGGAGTCAGAGGACGGTAAGAAGGACACCATGGTGGACGTCGTCTTCAAGAAGGCTCTGAGGGAGTTCAGGATCAACATCTTCAACTCGTACTCCACCGCGCTGGCAGTGAGTCCTCCATGCTCTTCTCTTTTTGTTTGTTCTCAGCTGATTTTAAGCACCACAGGACCTCTTTACAGCTGTGCGTCAGGAAGGTAGAGATAATAATAAGACGCTTTACATAAAATCAGAACAGAAATAGTACAAAGAAAAACAGAAAACATAAAGCGTAGTGCTAATCCAAGTGCGAGTAAAATGGGGGTTGTTGATCAGAGTTTGAAAGCTAGTTATAAGTGAGTTTTGAGAGATTCTTTCGAGGAAGATTGGGACGTTGTAATTCACTCACAGTTAAGAATACTAAAGTGTCTCACATGCCTTATAGGTTGTCTGTTTTAGCAAACGTAGCACTGAGGGGGAATAAAATAGCCATCAGGCTGCACAACACGAGGTCAACAATGTGACACAATTACTGCACATAAAATACACACTGTTTCACACACATGTGCATATATCTAATATGTATATATGACCCAATATGTATATATGTTCATTTGAATTCATTTCTTATTTTATAGTTATTTTATCATTTTTTTAAAAATCTTTAATTGTTTGTTTTTTAACTTCGATTTTATTATTTTCAGGAACAACAATACAAACAAAAGTATTGTCAGAGATCAAATAATTATCTATACATAATGTAACTAAGGTCAGGGTTCCCTGTGACTTAGTGAAGGGGTCCACTTAAACAGTTTATTTTCAAATTCTGGTAGTTTCATTCTGAGCACATGGGTGAATCTTTCCCAGTGTTGTGTTAGTTACTGAAAAGCAGTAACTAGTTACCATTACTAGTTACTTCATTTCAAAAGTAACTCAGTTACTTCACTAGTTACTTACACCCAAAAGTAATGCGTTACTGTGAAAAGTAACGTTTTAATTACTTAATGGCTCCAATTAATGCCCGTATATCCTTCATTTCAGTACTGTTATTGCATTGGAGAATAATACAATCTGTTGATCAACTTGACATGCATTATATGCAATCTGGATTGCATCGATATTAGCTGGCTTTCCATTTTTGTATATTCTTTTTCCAGGTAGTTGGAAAAAGTTTTCCGTCCCATATGCCGTGTGCCGCCCGGACATGCTATCATGCTAACTAGCTCCCTGAAAGCGGGTGACTCCACTGTAGCAATAGCCTGCATGTGTTCTACAACATACCGTGCAATGGCTTTATCGACTTTTCCCTGGCTAGCAGTCCCTTGGTTAAAATCCAGCCGCTGTTGCTTAGGTGGAGGTGGAGTGGCGTCGGCTGAGTCTCTGTGGTCTTAGCTACTAGCTTCGTCCCAGCATGTTGTTTTTGCAGATGTTTTAAGAGATTTGAATTACTGGTTTGGGCAGTAGATAGGATATTTGACCCGCCAGGACACAACTTACATTTAACTAAAACGTTCTTTTCTTTGTGCTCGACAAAAGTGAAATAGTGAGAATATCTCCAGGTGGAGAAACTAGACTTGAGCTCCGCCGCCGCCATGACAGTCTTGTTAGTAAACAACACAAACACGCCCACAGCGCGTCTCCGCATGTGACACAGGAAGTATCTAAGTACATTTACTCAAGTACAGTACTCATCTCTGTTCGCCTGGCTGTTGACTATATTAAAAAAAACTAACGGAGTAACGCATCATGTAGTAACGGTTACTGAATTAAAAAAGTAATGCGTTAGAGTACTAGTTACTGCCAAAAATAACGGCGTTACAGTAACGCGTTACTTTGTAACGGGTTAGTCCCAACACTGGTCTTTCCATATGCAAGTACTTCTCCAACCAGTCCTTGGCTGCAGGGGGTTCCTCCTGTAGCCATTTCCTGGTGATTGTTTTTTTCGTTGATGCTATCAGTATACGAACAAGATATTGGTCTCCGTATTGGACAATGCTCCTTGTGAGGTTTCCTAAATAAAGTACTTCAAAAGTGTTCGGGACCTCATATCCCAAAATCCGCTTGAGCACAGTCCATACATTACATGTTACTTACATTACATGTTACTTGTTAGACATACATCATCCCAGTATCCCTTCATTTTCGCACATTCCCAAAAAACATGTCCAACATTACTCACCCCACACAGTCTCCAGCATGCCTCTTGAGTATGTGCGTATTCACTTTTAGTCCTGGGAGTAATGAAAAATCGGATTATATTTTTCCAACAAAACTCTTTCCACATCCTTCGATTGTATCTTTGATTGTATTAATCTGTGCGAATCTGTGCTGTCCTGCTTTTCAATCTTACCCTGTTGCTGTTAACCCGCTGAATTTCCCCACTGGGATTAATAAAAGTCCATCTTATCTTATCTTATCTTAAAAAAACTAATTTGGAAGAAGCCAGAAAAGTGTTTGCTGATGTTTTGGTGGAATCATTTGTGATTTGACACAAAATCACCAATGATTCTGAGTATTTCTTCTTACTTGCCTTTAACCACCAGATGGATGATGGGAAGAGTATCCGTTACAAGGATCTGTACGCCCTGTTCGAACAAATCCTGGAGAAGACCATGCGCCTGGAGCAGAGGGACTGGCGCGAGTCGCCGGTGAAGGTGTGGGTCAACACCTTCAAGGTGTTCCTGGACGAGTTTATGACCGAGTACAAGCCCATGCAGGGAACCATCGGCAGGGTAAGAGTTATAAACTGATTGATGTAAATAATGATAACTATTATGCAGTTATTATCTATCGATATCAATGAATTCAATGTGCAGTACTCACAAGGAGATTACAAAACATCACAATGTAAGTTACACACTTTTCTTTGTCCAGGCTCCTAAACGAGAACGCAAGAAGTCAAGAAAGAAGGAAACAGACATTGTGAGTTGTTATTTTAATGGTATACTAAAGACAAATATTGCATACAACAATGTTTGTGCTGAACTAACTTCTGCTCCCCCCCCCGCCCCCCCCCCCCCCCCCCCCCCCACACACACACACACACACTCCTGCAGGTGGAAGAACACAACGGCCACATCTTTAAATCCACACAGTACAGCATCCCCACATACTGCGAGTACTGCTCCTCCCTCATCTGGATGATGGACCGCGCCTGCGTCTGCAAACGTAAGGATTGGACACAAAACACACACACACACACACACACACACACACACACACACACACACACACACACACACACACACACACACACACACACACATTCAAACCACTGTGTCCGGTTCAATTGGGAAAATATAGTTCAAGATAAAATACTAAACGTTAGAAAATTGCTGTTTTTTTGCCTGTATTCTCCATAAAAGCCGACGGTAAATATCTGCAAGTCTGCCTAATATCTCACACACACACACACACACACACACACACACACACACACACACACACACACGCACACACACACACACACACACAGTAATATACACCACTAGAAGTTCCTAATGTTTTCCTAACTCACTTACTCACACTGCTGACCGTGTGTGTAGTTTTTATTTCCACCCACACAGAACATTACAACCCCTCCTACTCTTACACACACACACACACACACACACACACACGCACTTGCCCTGCCTCACTGAGTGTGAGAAAAACTCGGTTAAACCTCATAAATCCATCTTCTATGAAGTTACTGTCTCCATCTGCACTCAGTGAGCAACAGACACCCAAACTCGCCGCCTCTGCACTCTTTACTCTTCGAGGTCGTGACGGACTGACTGCAGATGTTGTTGTGCGGAGGTTTTAGAGTCTCATTGTGTTGATCTGTTGTCTGCAGTGTGTCGCTACGCCTGCCATAGGAAGTGCTGCACCAAGATGACCACCAAGTGCAGTAAAAAGGTAGGAGGAGATTTGATTTATCTGAAGGTTTATGGTTTCGGGATGCTGTAATTTCACTAAGGTGTTAAAACACAACACTGGAAATGGATCAAAACATTTTTTAACATTTAAGCCTATTTGATTTCCTTTGTGTCTTTATGTTATTTAACTCACAATAAATAAATGTATGCCTGTCAAATGTTGTGTAAATTGTGTTTAATTAGCATTTTTCCTTTCCCTTTTGTTGTCATATGTATTCTGGAAACTGTTTACATTTGGAGAAATAGACACTTAGATACAAATGTAATCTCCTTGCTGCTGTTTTTGTAACAAAAGCTTTGTCCAGAAATACTTTTTATTGGTATCTTATAGGTGTAGGCATTCATTTGTACAATTTACTCTTAAGCATTTACAGTAGCAAACTCCTTGTTTCAAAGCAAAAAAACGTGTCAATTTTTGTAAGAAGAAAGAAACATCTGATTCTTATTATAATACATGTAAATTAATGAGCAATAAAACCCTTAATTATTGATTAAGTACCCTCAAAGGTTTTGCTGCTACAGGTTTACTTGGTCTGGTATGACTTGTAGCTTATAGTAGCTAATGTTAGCACATTGTAGCATTGCATTAGTCTTTAAATTACACACAGTGGTCTATCTGTAGTGTGACGTGTTTGTGTGTGTGTGCAGTACGATCCGGAGCTGTCGTCCAGGCAGTACGGTGTGGAGTTGTCCCGTCTGACCAGCGAGGAGCGGACGGTGCCGCAGCTCGTGGAGAAACTCATCAACTACATCGAGATGCACGGCCTCTACTCCGAGGGCATCTACAGGAAGTCTGGCTCCACCAATAAGATCAAAGAGCTGCGCCTGGGGCTGGACACAGGTCAGACTGACACTGACAACTTTATTACACATATATGTGTATCACCCATGTTTTCTAATAATTAATTATGACTTTTTGTTCATTCAGTTAGTTATTCTACTGCTGAAATATTAGCTAACTTGAGGATTGAAAGAGTAAAAGCTGATTTTGCGACAAAAGTCCTGAGCAATTTCTATACTATACTTGAATATAATCTGTTCTTCTTCAACTACTACCACTACTACTACATTTTCCTCTTCTACTCCTACTACTACTATGACCACTCTACTGGTACTACTGGTACTACTGGTACTTCTTACTCTTGTTCCTTTACCACAAGTACTACTAGTCTTACAGTCACTCGCATTATAAATACGTTCCTACAACTATTTCCTCTTTCTTCTTCTTCTTTTTCTTATTCAACATCTACTCCTAGGTATTTTTCTACTAGTTACACTGTACCGTAAATACGTCACATAAAGTTAATTTGCCTGAACGTGTCTGTGTTTGACCAGATGTGAACGTTGTGAACCTGGACGACTACAACATCCACGTCATTGCCAGTGTTCTCAAACAGTGGCTGCGTGACCTGCCCAGCCCTCTCATGACCTTCGAACTGTACGAGGAGTTCCTCCGGGCCATGGGTACGTTTTTAATCAGTTATTTAGTGACTGCGTGTTGCTGTTTGTCTCTGCAGAGGCTCCTCCGGCTGAGAGTCAAATGTTACCTGGTCTGATGGTGTGTGTTTGATTTATTTCTAGGCCAGTCAGATCGGCGGGAGGTGATAACAGGAGTGTATTCTGTGATTGACCAGCTCAGCAGGACTCACCTCAGTACGCTGGAGCGCCTCATCTTCCATCTGGTCAGGTAAGTGAAGAGTTCAAAAATACAGCATGTTTAAGGAAGAGCTTTTAGTTTTGATGCTCCACAGATCTGGAATAAACGTGCCAAACACCTGTCTGCCCAAACACTGAGTTATTTTAAAGAGGTCCTATTATGCTTTTTGGGCTTTTCCCTTCCCTGTAGTGCATTATGTAGATTGTGTGCATGTAAATGGTCTGCTAAGGCATGTTTGGACTCCTTTGTTTACTTCCGTAACATAGTGACATCTCTCTGTCACAATCACACTTTTATTGACTAGCGCTCCAACACATTGTACGTGATAGGCTAAGGCAGTGGTTCTCAAAGTGGGGGGCGCGAGAGACCAGGAGGAAAAAAGGCACAAAAAAAAAAATATGATGCAGTACTATTACGTCTGGGTCTCTGTGTTTCATTAAAGCTCGGCTGTGTGTGTGTGTGTGTGTGTGTGTGTGTGTGTGTGTGTGTGTGTGTGTGTGTGTGTGTGTGTGTGTGTGTTGTGTGTGTGTGTGTGTGTGTGTGTGTGTGTGTGTGTGTGTGTGTGTGTGTGTGTGTGTGTGTGTGTGTGTGTGTGTGTGTGTGAACGAGCCATTTTGTGTGCGCGAGAGAGAGAGCGCACCGGTACCGGAGATCGTTGTTGTTAGCTTCCAGTGCTAGCGAGCTACGCTAACGGATATAAGGAGTTTTTTCAACAACAAAGTGGAGGAGAGTCCTCTCCTGTCAGACTGAGAGACTCAGTGAGCTAAAGGACTCTCTCTTGAGTGTTATCTCAGTGGGTCTCAAACGTTTTGGTCACCATTAATGTAAACAATTATTTCCGAGGCACACGTTTATATGATCATTATAGTTATAAAAAAATAAGAGAATAAATGAAAAACAGGTATGAAATTCTATATGACAGTAAAACAAGAATAAAGTTTAAAAGGGTGATTTGTAAAATATCCATAAAGAAAAAGTAAATCTGTTTACAGTTCTGTTTCAAATGGATGTTGAGAGATGTATCCATAGATCTCTTCATGTTGCTCTCAAAGTGCACCAGATTGATGCTTTTAACTTCAATATTTAAAAATAAATCTTCCCGGGGGAGCATGCCCCCGGACCCCCTTATGTGAGGTCCACACACCACCTATAAAAATAGCACTTTACCCCTGCTTACACCTATATGCCGTGAGCTGATTATCGAGCCTTCATTGTAACAGTCACACTGTGTGTGTGTGTGGGGATTGTTGCAGTAGAAAATTCAACTGTAGCGCCCGGTACATTAATGGGAAACCCTAAATGTTTGAGCACCCTCTATGAAACTTCAAGCTACCCCACAGCACCCCAAAATAAATCTCTGGCGCCGCCACTGAGCCTGACTATTTGTGTTGGGGGGGCCCGACTTTTTTTTTTCTCCAAAGGGGGGGCCTGACAGAAAAAGTTTGAGAACCACTAGGCTAAGGGGTGGGACATCTCTAAGCGGTTGACCAATCACAACAGAGCCGGCTAGCTAACCAATCAGAGCAGACAGGGCTCTGGTTTCAGACAGAGGGTGAACAGAGGTGCTGCAGCACAGGCAGTATGAGAAAAATAAAGAGCTTTGTGAACATTAAAGCATGGAGACATGTCCCAGTAGAGACACAAAATACAACTATTAAACCTGAAAATGATCATAATAGCAAAATGTCTGAGCTGTGGTTTATAGATCTTCTTTCATTTGTTTTTCTCTCACTTGTCAAACACTGGATTAGCTTTCTTGTCACATGCTGCCCTGCCTTTTGTGTGTTATGTGTGCTCTGTTTACGTCGGCATCAGGATTAACAGGATTACACTGTGGTGTGTTTCAGGATTGCCCTGCAGGAGGACACGAACAGGATGTCGGCCAACGCCCTCGCCATCGTGTTCGCTCCCTGCATCCTCCGCTGCCCCGACACCATCGACCCGCTGCAGAGCGTCCAGGACATCAGCAAAACCACAGCGTACGTCCTCCAGCATCCTCTGTTGTTTCCTATTATAACTCTTTGGCTCACAGAATCAGTATCAAAATAAGTTAATTGTATATAAGCATATTAATCGCTTTTGAAAAGCATATTGAAGAAAAAGTTGGCAAAGTACTGCAAAAGTCAAGACATACACATAGAATAGGAAAATTAAGATTAAGTTATATACAATTTAACTTTGTATATAGAGATAGGATAGACAAGGGTTTGTAATCAAAATAATTGCCTGCAACAGAAAGAAATATGAGTTAAAATATTGTACTCATAGGAAATGTCTCATTTAATTTCATCTCTATTTCTTAAAGGTTGAGGTATTTTGTTTTTGTTTTCCACCTCCATGACTTCTTATTGGTCTCACAGTTAAAGTGTGTTGCAACAAGAGAATAAACACAAAGTGTAAACTACAATTAAAAGCCCAGGCAGTGATGTGGAAACAAATGTTGTGATGCTGTAATGTTACCACCAACCCTTTATTGTAGGGACAACGTTTGAGAATAGTCAATAATACTCCTTATATCACTTTAATGTTGCAGCCAGGCTTGGAATTTCGTCATTTTAGGGGCAAGGCCATTTGGCCTTCCCGTTCACATTTTTTTTAAGGGCACAAAGGCCACATGACAGGGCACAAAGGCCGTTTGGTTAAATTACGCTGGTCAATCAACATGACTGAAAAGTGTAGCACTAACGTCAACACCAGTCGTTTTACAAATGGCTGAATAGCAATAGTGTTTCTTAAACGTATACGTTAAGTTCAGCCATAAACCACATAAGTCAGTCATGTATTATATCAAAACCGCTTAGCAAGAAAAATACTAGATTCAAAGGTGACCTGCTAGCTTGTAGAAGCAACACTAGATGTAGACCCCTTGAAGGGAAGACGTTAGCGCTATCCAAACTAGCTAGCTATCGCTAGTTTTCATGACAAAATGTAACGAGTCGACTTTAAATAGGCTAATACAATGGTAATTACCTATCAATAGTACTTTCTATAAACACGTAAATGTTAAGTCCTTTCAAATACTACCACATACTTCAGTTAAATCATATCAAAACAGCTTGGTCCGCTTGCTTACCTGTGCTTGTCTTGCTCCCGCGGCTGAGGAGGAGGCTGTCGGGCCCCTACAGGCATTTCTGACGGAACAATCACAGCAGAGCAATCGCTCTGATCCACAGACACGGGACTATCCTACTGCGCGCACTAGTATGACTTCACTAGCGTTGTTTACACTGGAACTTTTGACAGGGGCACAAAGGCCACTTTGGCCGTGAATTGCATTTTTTTTCACAGGGCATCACGGCCAAAGTGCGGGGCAACGACGGCCATGGCCGTCGTGAAATTCCCACCCTGGTTGCAGCTGGTAAAAGTGTAGCTCATTTAACTTCTTTGTATACTTTATCTGCTGGGTAGCTCATGCTTTTCCTCTTGGGAGATCAATATCAGTCAAGTCAAAGTTTAAATGTATCACCAAAAATCGCAACCAATTCATAAACTAATAAAGACTTTACTAGTTACGATATTCAATGGTATAACCTGATTTATTTAAGCCAGCAGTCCCTAAAGAAATGTAAACACACAATTAGTAATTAACAAAAACCTGGTCCAATCATATCCTCTATTCTACTTGTATTTAATCACGTCTATTTTAATTTTTTTGTTACCAACTTTGTATTAAATGTTCCTCTCACCTTCACAAAATGACACAAATATACAGATACAAATTATACAAATGTAAAATATAGAAAAACTAAATAAGCGCAGGTATACCCTTCCCCGTTTAACCATCCTTTTCAGTCATCAGTACGTCATGAAACTAAGGCCCCATTTACACGGGAACACAAACGAAAACTAACCGAATTCGATATCAAAAAAGTCTTCCGTTCACACGCAATCGGCTCAATAAACGTGTCTGTTCACACGAGACCGCTCGACCCGCTGGAGAGGCTGTAGTACATATGCCGGGCCTGTAAGTGGCGCTGTAGATTTTGCACTAACATCTGTAGCATGCTACAGCAGTGAGCAGCAGAGGTGGGGAGAGGCGGGGCTATGGCTTCATCGTTATCAGGAAAATTATCGTATAGGACGTACACACAGAGCCGTTTGGCCCCCCAGAGCGATCCTTCCGCAGATCTATCCACCTTGGGGTCCGTTATCGTTTTAGGGGTCCGTTTCCGCGGTTCCGTTACGGCCTCGTGTGAACGAACGGGCTATACGAAAGAGAAAGTAGCGGATACAACCCGAACCGTATCCATGTAAACGGGGCCTAAGAATCAGAATCAGAAACAGGTTTATCACCAGGTAGGTTGATACATACGAGGAATTTGACTTTGTGTCGTGGTGCATACATAAAAGTAAAACCAAAATTAAAAACACAGAAAGAGAACTAGAAAAATATTTAAATTAAAAAAAACAGTATACAAATGGAATGGAATAAAAATCGGAGTAATAAAAAAAGGAAAACAGATATTGTTGAAGATGTTGTATGTAGGGGTTATCCATTGTGTTACGAGGACATTAAGAGAAGAACGATTATTCAGCAATGTTTGGGAGACATCGTTTCTGAATCCTGTTCTAATCTAAATTGATCTGTTCCCCTGTAGGTGTGTGGAGCTGATCATCAACGAGCAGATGAGCAAGTACAGAGCTCGCCTGAAGGACATCAGCAGTCTGGAGTTTGCAGAAAGCAAAGCCAAGAGCAGACTGACCCACATCAGGAGGTCCATGGTAAGACAGCCCTTTAAGCTCATAAACCAAGTTACAAAACATGTTCATGGAAATAAATCCTCACTGCGTGGCATCGACATGGATGCTTTTCCAACTCGTTCCACTCACTCATCATTTAAATGGTGACTCAGCAGTTTTTCAGCTCCTCGAGCAGCTGGCATGGTTTTCACACAGCCATGGCAGGAGTTCATTCATACATCTCATACATTCGTTTTTTGCTACACAAGCAAAAAGCTGACACAAGGGGATTTGAATTAGAAATATGTGCACAGCGGGACACTTTGCATGCAAAAAAAAGAGCTCTAGGAATATTTTCTTACAGAGAAACAATAGCCGCGTTCACACCGCAGTACTTTTCCCACTTTAGTTCCGATATAGTTCCGAAATGTCGCGTTCACACCAAAAAGAGCCGGAACTAAAATTAGTTCATGAGAACCTTTTTACCCCCTTTTCCGTCCCTGCTAGAGAGCAGGGACTTTCGTGGGGGAAAAAGGTTCCTATTTCTGATTGGCTGGGCGGATTGCAAACCACGCCCCGTAAAACTCCCAAAATGTTTTGTGAAGCCGCCATTTTATTATCCTAGCATTAGCCCAGCGCAGAAACGCAGAGAGACTAACTTATGGCAACACAAAAGAAAACATGGGAGCGGTGGAGATGAGGAGGTGTCGGCGTTCTGGCGATTTACTTGGAAGGCTTCAGTAGAAGCTGCCAGTCCCCAACTCCGGGGACTTCCAGCCGGGGACTCCGGGCGGCAGGGGACTCCGTGAAGTGGTTTGCGGCCTGCCAGTAAACCCAAAGCAGAAGAAGAAGAAGTGACGTCAGCGGCTTCATTTGCCTAATCCTCCCCCAGGGACTTATTCCGGTGTGAACGCGATCTGTACTTAGTTCATGAGAACTAAAGAGTTCTGATGAACCTTTGTGGGAAAAGTACTGCGGCGTGAATGCGCCTATTGAGGTTTCACATATTCAACAGTCCTCCCTTTCATATCAATATTTGTTGAGTTATAGTCTTTTATTGCATGTTCCAACTGTTATCTTCTAACTTACTTCAAAGTCACAGCAGGTATTATCCATCGGGAGCTCCCAAAATATAGTTTTCCTTAAATAATAGGACTCTAAATAGTGAAAAGTAGCTCATTTGGGCCCCTTGCCAACTTTGAATCTGTAAAAGTTAATGGTGCTCAGTTAGGACATTTAAATGAATACATCTTAATAAATAAGCAAAATAATGAGACAAAGTAACAGGCAAATAAAACCGAAAAACAGCTGGCCTTCTTTACTGCTTCTTTAGTTATATCACAACACATTTGAACTGTATATGAAAAAGGAAAACCAAACTAAATGTAGCTGTCGTGCAAAACAGCAAATCAGTGACTTTTTAAACATTATTTAACTTCCAATCTTAAGATTTCAACCACATTCAGGATCTTTCAATGGTATTTTATTATAGCACTGAACTAATGTGTATGCATTTATATGTAAACACCACATATTGAACAAAAAAAACTAAAATTTAGCTCAGTTTGAATCAAAATATCTCGACATCTTTTGACCCACACTTACTTTATTACCCTCACCGCTCCCTAACCCTAATCTGTCCTTCCTTCCTTGCTCCCCCACCCCTCCTTCCAGAAACCCATACTAATTGCTGTTAGGTTTTTGAGCATAGCCCGCACGTCCACCCCGGTATGTATGCCCCTCTCACTCCATGTGTCCAACAACGCCATCACCACTGTCCTGTCCGTCAGTCTGATCCGTCCCACACCGTCTCCACTGATATCGTCTGTCACTGTCCCTGTCCCCGTCACGTCCGTCTGTAGCTATAGAATAATTACTGCTTGTTATTTAATGTTTGTGCTTCACTTAAAGGTCTCCTATTATACTGTTTTTCATCAATATGTTATAGGTCTCAGATATATACAAACATGTCTCTGAAGTGTTTGGCTCCAAACACCAAACAGATCATTGCAGCATTACCCATAATCCCCTCTGTTTCAGCCCTGTTTCAAAAGTGCTGATTCTCTGTCTGTTACTTTAGATGAAAATAAGGAGCCCCTCCCCACGCCCCTCTGAGAGACATTTGGTTAAAAAGAACACAATGGTGCTCTAGGAGGAGATTCAGGTGATAAGGGGGAGGGGTTACCTTGGTTGGTGATTGGCTAATGGTTACACAAGCCAAACAAACGTTATGACATCATAAAGTGGCCAAAATCTGATCAGCTCATTTTCAGACAGGTTTTTATAGAAATGGATCAGGACAAAAAGAGAGAGAATCTTTTTTCCTGAAACTTTCAGAGTCTCTTTACACAGAGGAGACACATGTTGATGTAGAAGAGACATGAAGAAGAGGGGACACATGCTGATGTAGAAGAGACATGAAGAAGAGGGGACACATGTTGATGTAGAAGAGACATGAAGAAGAGGGGACACATGTTGATGTAGAAGAGACATGAAGAAGAGGGGACACATGTTGATGTAGAAGAGACATGGAGAAGAGGGGACACATGTTGATGTAGAAGAGACATGAAGAAGAGGGGACACATGTTGATGTAGAAGAGACATGGAGAAGAGGGGACACATGTTGATGTAGAAGAGACATGAAGAAGAGGGGACACATGTTGATGTAGAAGAGACATGAAGAAGAGGGGACACATGTTGATGTAGAAGAGACATGAAGAAGAGGGGACACATGTTGATGTAGAAGAGACATGAAGAAGAGGGGACACATGTTGATGTAGAAGAGACATGGAGAAGAGGGGACACATGTTGATGTAGAAGAGACATGAAGAAGAGGGGACACATGTTGATGTAGAAGAGACATGAAGAAGAGAGGACACATGTTGATGTAGAAGAGACATGAAGAAGAGGATTTTGCATAAAAGGTTAATGTAATACTGCCGGCAGATTTTTAAGTAAAAGTAGGAAATATAAATAATTTCTTACTATTTCTGTTGTTAGATGATGTCTGCTTTGACTTTTGTTTTCTTGTTCGATAATCAGGGATACAGAGCACTGAACCATGACTCGAGTGCGTGCGTGCGTGCGTGCGTGCGTGCGTGCGTGCGTGCGTGCGTGCGTGCGTGCGTGCGTGCGTGCGTGCGTGCGTGTAGCTGGGATCTGATTAGCAGCTAACAATAAGTCAAATAGATTTTTAAGAAGCCACTGTTAAACAGAACAGCTAACTAGAGGCGGATTAAGCATCTGCTAACACTGTTGAGTTGACTTCACACTAAGATATGGCTCAGAATCTTGCTCTGTTTTTTGTGTATAATTAATTGTAATAAGAGTTTCCATTGTGGTGTTGTTGCTTTGTCTGCTAGTCTCTGTGGTTAGCAAACCAAGCTAACTACCTAGCTTTTTGCTAGCAGCATCCCATTCAATGTTATCAAGCTAGCACTGCTCTTCATGTGGGATAAACGAGGCCTATTATTTCATGTTTCTGACTATAATTGATTGAAATTAGTCAATTTCTGTATATTTTTACAGTTTCCCGACACGGTTCAGTTTGCAGAACTTCTGTAACTGAAGGTATCTCTATGTCAAAGTTAGTGTTATCGGTCTGAGAGAGCAGCACTTACTGTTAGCAGCCTAACACAGCTAAACTTAAGGTAATGCCTACCCGAGTTTGCTTATGTGTAGTGCAGCAGAAGTGTATTTGTGTGTGTTTGTGTAGCTGACCTCATAGTTTTTAGCCGTGTTTTCGTGAACTGGTTGTCAATATGTTTAGTCGCTATTTGTTCGAGACATCCAGCCGTATCTATAGAGTCCGCTGTGTGTGCTCCATCGCTGTCAATGTCAACAGAGAACTGATTATTGATATTATTCATTATGATTATTCATTATTATGCCCTTATACAGCCTCCACTAACATGTTCCCTTGCTCTGTGATTTCTGTGTGAACTTGCAGTGCAAAGGCCGCGTTCAGCAAAGCAGCACCAACACGCTGTCGCCGCCTCTCAGCCCCAAAGTGCCCCCAGTGGTGGTGGATGGAGAGAGTGATGGAAGTGGAGGCGGAGGAGAAGGAGGAAAGGGAGAAGGAGATGGAGGAAGAGAAGGAGATGGAGGAGGAGAAGGAGGAGAAGGAGCAGAGGAAGCAGCAGAGGCCGGGCTGAGTGATCAGCAGCAGATGGCGATGCAGCAGGAAGAGAGGATCCTCACCGAGCAGATCGAGAGCCTGCAGAAAGAAAAGTATGACGGCCCTCTGGTTAATCTTTAACAAAGCCTAGCAGATGTCATTGGAAGTGTTTGGGTTTCATATGTCACATAGGTCACACGGGTGCTCCAAAAACGAGTTGAAAAATACAAATAATAATAATAATAAGTTGTAATGTAATGAAAACAAGTTGTTTTTGCTTGTAATACGTCAAACATTTGTTAACATGTTAAAAAAAATGTAAATAAGATGCGATATTAGATAAAGGAGATCTTGAAATTATTGTCTGCTTATCTGTATTATTGTGTTGCATTGTTGGAGAAGCCTGTGACCTAAGATTTTCAACGACTTAACACTCTGTAGCTATGTTAGTTTGACAATAAAGAACCTTGAACCTTAACTGGGAAACAAATAGGAAATGTTTCAGGCACATTTATCTTATTTCAAGTTATATTAAAATAACACTCATATTTAAAACAAGATAAGGAATTGTTATTTAAGAGAAAATGTGACTTTTAAGTGGAAATACCTCTAAAGCAAGTTTCAAAGTGTGATGATTGAAAAGCAAGTATCAAGTAAACAATGTCATCAAAAAGGTTTCTTGTTGGTAAGTCACTCTGCACTCAACATTGCTACAAAACCCATTAAAAGAACGAAGAAGATGCTTCAAACAATCCACTGTTCCAGGTAAACTAGTAGCTGTGTTTATTTATTGAGCGTCATTATTAAGCAATCTGCTACATTGATCCCTTCAGGGACACACACACACAGCATGGTATCTCTTATCAGGACAACATCGACCTCTGTATATTTTTAGTAGCAGGGATTTAAGGCCGTTAAAATTGCAAAGAAACACCCTCAAGGTTAGTTGTGAATAAAATGATTTAGATAAGCTTGTAACCTGGCTCGTGTGTGTGTGTGTGTGTGTGTGTGTGTGTGTGTGTGTGTGTGTGTGTGTGTGTGTGTGTGTGTGTGTGTGTGTGTGTGTGTGTGTGTGTGTGTGTGTGTGTGTGTGTGTGTGTGTGTGTGTGTGTGTGTGTGTGTGTGTGTGTGTGTGTGTGTGTGTGTGTGTGTGTGTGTGTGTAGGGAGGAGCTGACGTATGAGATGTTGATCCTGGAGCCGCGGACGTCTGATGATGACACTCCTGAATCCGAAGCCTCCATCGGCACAGCGGACAGCTCGGAGAACATCACCATGGAGACGGAAGGAGCCACATCAGACCCCTTTGGTACGTGTGTGTGTGTGTGTGTCCTACCTCTCTGTTTCTGGACCCAGATTTAGAATCGTCTCTGAACATGGCGAGAGATCTTTCCTGGTTCACCAAATCCTTATCTGACCTGCAACACAGAACCAGAACTTTTTTTAAATTAAACATTAAACAAAAGGCATAAAAGTACTTAATCTTTTTCTTTACTCTATTGATGATCTATTGGTGTGCGTGTGCGTGCGTGCTGTATGCCCCCCCCACTAATTACTCCAACAAAAAAAACACCCACAAATAGATTTTAAATATATACAATGTACCAGCTGCTATTAAAGGGCCAGGTTTTCTGATTTCTTGATATTTTACCATTCTTGGTTACATTTTCACATTTTCCCTGATGATAAAAAGTCACATTTCAATAGACATTTATCACAAGGACACAATAATCACATATTAAAAGCTAGTCTGAAAGGTGAGATGTAGTCAGTGTTTCAGTGTTGTAGTCAGTCGATCTCTCGCCATGTTCAAAGACGACTCTAAAGCTGCTCCAAGGTGACGAGGTTAGTGCAGTTTCTGATTGTTGTGGTAATGAGTTCCAGATCGTAACCCTCAGCTGCTCTCTCCCCGCAGAGCGCGGCCCTTATCACGGCAGAAAGTCGGAGTCAAAAAGCCGGCGAGCTTTACGCCGTCAGCCCGACTCCCAGGACTCAGCAGACTCCATCTCCACCGTCTCCTCCTACCACCCGTCCTCCTCTCTGTCCTCCAACGCCTCCGGCTCGCCCTCCCCTCACTACCGCTTCCGCTCCTCCTCCTCCGGGCCCCTGCTCTCCTCCTGTGGGCTGGGGGCCCCGTTGGCAGAAGCCGAGGGCGGCCAAGGAGCCGCGAAGAGCCGCCACCGGATCCGTCTGAGTCGCAGCTCACCTCGGGAACCCTCGGGGGGGATAAGGAGGGACTCTGACTTCGGCTCGGGGCCACAGCAGCTGGTTCTGTACGGCAGCAACGAGTTCATGGTGTGAAAACGAGGAGGGGAGGAGCCGCTGAGGTTACAAGTGTAGGAAATGAGGAAGGGGAGGGATATGTGCTCTGTATCACCTCCTAATGCTTCCTCTTCTTCTTCAGAGTCAGAGCAGGAAGATGTGGGGATGAAAAAGGACTGGAAATATGTAAAAGAGGGACAAAAAGACAGGGGATGATTCATCACATCTGGAACCGAGTGAAGACATGTCTCGGTCCGAGGAAAGAGACGATTGAGGAAAAACCCACACCTGCAAAAGCCAAATCTTACAGAGCCCCATCTTAATGTTTTAGCATGTGGGCAGGTGGAGAAAGCCACCCAGAAGAGATGTAGCCATACTGACTGACCTGGCTTTGTCTGTAACCAGCGCCAAGTTAGTCTGCTTCTCACGTTTACACAGAACACACAGGCTGCATGCATCTCCATCATCACTGTCTCCTCCGTCAGTTTGAAGAGACTGTACAGAAATATGTTACATTATTATTATTATTATTATTAAAGAGGAACAATATGTACATAGAAAGAAACTCCAATGCTGCTCCTTGGTTGTTCATTGTTTAATATTTCTACTTCCTGTTTTCTATTTGACAAAGTGAAGTGTCAGGAATTCAGGTTCCACTTTTGTTTCTGTGCTGGGTGTTCTGCTCGGTTTACCGTCATTTGAGTACTTTTTTCTTTCTCTTTTCCTGTTACACAATGAACAGAGCCAGCGGTGGGTGTCCTCGGGTCGTACTCTGGAGAAATAATAATAGAAGGAAAAGCTGTGGGTGTGCGCTCTCAGAGATACGAGTCTGGTGGTGTCACGTTTACTTTACCGGATGTGTCAAATGTCAATCAGCCATAAGTGTATCTGTTTCCCCTTCTGTTTTACTCAGAAACATCAGTGTTACTACGTCAGGACTTGAATTTTTTTTGTATACATCTATATAAATATATATATTATTGCTGTATTATAGGTGTTGTTATTGATATCAAAGATGTCATTTTCTTCTTGTCAATATTGTTTCTTTTTGTTCAGATGAAAGCCATTTTTTCTTCCGTGTGTGTGTGTGTGTGTGTGTGTGTGTGTGTGTGTAATTCCTTCCTCTGTATCAAGGCCCACTTTGTGTGGTCTTCATTACACACACACACACTAGTGTTTCCCCCTAAACATGTTGACTTGCTAAGGTGAAAATGACTTTAGGTGACACTAACTCAGACTTATGAAATCTTTAATAAGTCTAAGATTCATTGCACGCTTTCATACCGTCCATGATGTCCTCCGAGCCCCCCAGGACACTCTTCTTCTTCTTTCTGTTTCTACTACTTCTTCTTCTTCCATCCTATTCTCTCGCCGCTCTGGCTGTGAAAAGTAGCATTATTTACTCTTGCCTGTTAACCAGACACAAACAAGTAGCAACTAACTCAGACCGTCCCCGTCTTTCTGCATATTCTAACAGTGTGATATCCCTTTGTTTGGGGCACACTCAGTAGCTTAACAGCAAAGATGTCTCCGTACTTTAGCTGCAATATCTCTCCTTGCTTGCAGCGCCTGTGATTCGATGCTTTTGAGCAGCATTTGCTCGGATCTCACGACACAGTCAGTGTTAAACAACTTCTCCTTGAAGCTGGACGTCTCTTTGAAGACCGTGCTGATCTCCGTTTTAATGCAAGTGTGTTGTCTTTTTACAACATTAAACTGTAGACCTGTAAAGATAGAAAAAAAGCTGTTTCAGAGGTGAGCTGAAAGGACAGTTCCAAATATCTTTGAGCTGATATTTAATGGGATGGAAACATGTCCAGGCTGTTCATATGGCAACAACAAAAAAAAGTGAATGTACCTGTCACTGGAAAGCATGCTCTGCTTTCTCTGGTTGTTTTTGATCCTCTTTTATACACAGTGTATGTACTATTTATGATCATGCTTTTGGGGTGTACATTGGTTTAAAAGAATCTGTTATAAAAGGTGTTATAAAAGGATATATTATCCTGTGTACGGTTCATTATCTACTATTAATCATGGCAACATTTTAACAGGCCGCACTAGGTCTGTCATGTTTGTGCTACGAAGTGAGAAACAAAAAAAAGGAAAGCGCTGTGTCTGTCTGCGCCACTCTGGACACGGTTATGTATAAGGTGCAATTTGTGTTATATTTCTTTTTTTTAATGATACAAACATGTTTATGGTTGTAAGAAAAAAAGACTTCATCTGCTTATTAAAAAAGCAAAACTGCAGCCAAACACGAGTTGAGTTATATTTTGTCTCATGGATGTTATTTCCCTTTTCAACACCTATATTTTCACACGTTGGTGTTCCTGTCAAGTATAAGATATATTTAAAGGCAGGGTTCGAGGTGTGTGGGAGCCAATGGGGTCTGAGCTCCCACGGACAGAGTGAAATCATACATCTGTGGGGGTCGCTAATACATTACCAACAACCATTATTTTAATCAAATAATGCATGTGTCAATGTAATGAGTATTATTTACGTTAACGAGGTAAATAGGCTAAAAGAAAAACATGTTTTCCAAAAGAACTACGCATCTCTTTGACAATATGCCTGCGCTGCACCTCCAATGTGCATTATTGCGCAATCTATGCCTGTGAGCTTGCTGCGCGAGCCGAGATGATGTGATGTGTGCGTAGTTGAACCTTTTCATATTTAAGTTTGTAGCAAGTCTCTACTTGCTACAAACTTAAATATGAAAAGGTTCAACTACGCACACATCACATCATCAGCTGCTGGTGTGTGTGTGTGTGTGTGTGTGTGTGTGTGTGTGTGTGTGTGTGTGTGTGTGTGTGTGTGTGTGTGTGTGTGTGTGTGTGTGTGTGTGTGTGTGTGTGTGTGTGTGTGAACCCTGGTTAAAGGTGCTATGTCCTGTTAACCTTCACTCAGTGTGGGTTTGCTTGACGTCTGAAGAAAGACAATGACAAATACAGGTGAGTATAGTGAAAATATTGAGTAGATCAACTTTATCAGTTCATTTTTAACATTAATACATTACTTACATTAAGACAATTATATTTTGTCTAACAAGTTTTCCGAATGTTTAATTTTGAATACGCAAATGACCCATTATATAATGCTTTTTGGAGCTAGATTTGGGATATATCTATTGGTTCTTTCGACTAGTCTAAGACAAGTACAAAACAAAGAAGCAAAATAGACAACTTCAAAATCGACAGTTCACTAGTTTGTAGTGACTTTTCTGGTGAAATGTGGCATTTCTTCACGTGTTCCTGCCACCAACAGGAAGGTGTGTTCATTGCCACATAACACTGTAAACCTTAAAGAGGCCCTATAATGCTTTTTCCCTTTCCTGTAGTGTGTCATTTAGGTTGTGTGTGCATGTAAATGTTCTGCAAAGGCTAAAATCCCTCCAAAGGGAGTTCCTTTCCCACACTCAAAATACAAATATGAGCCTGTCCTCTTTAAATAGGCCTCATTCAATACTGGAAATTAAATTCAACATCCAGTTTAGCCGTTTTTTCTTAGCACATCTTTTTAAGAGAAGAATCTTTTTAAGATATTTCACAGGCTTGAATAATCTAAATAACCAAGTGATTTATTGTTGGTTTATTCCGTTTAGAGTCATTGGCAATCATTAATATTACTCGTATCACTGGTCTTACCATCGCAGGTCAAATAGTTTCCTGTTGTCAGAATGAGGATTAGTCATAAAGTCATTCGCCCTCAGGGAACAGCTGGGTGTGTCATGTCATCGGATGCAATGGATTTGAATACTGGATATTATGTAATTGCTTGGTGTGGCACTCTATTGTTCTGATGTGTTTATATCTAATGTGGTATCCGTTTCATTTCTCAAGAAACAGTGTGCCGTTTTACTATCGATTTGTAGGATATACTATTTTGAGCAACGTTATGGCTGACTTTTAATATCAGAGCCAGTTGGTTTGATTTGTATTTTACAGTGAACGTATACATACATTTATAATTAGTGATTTATAGATCTATTGATTTATGGAGAACATAAAGTTAACATAAGATACACCTTTATTGGTCCTATAGGGATATCCAGGAAGCACCCTCTTAATATGACCTCTTAAGTTATGTATTTATTTGTATATTGACTATTATTATATTAATTGAATACAACATCTTAAATATTTGTGTTGTTGTGTTTTTATTCTATCGCATGTTCGTTGTTTAATTGTTTTATTTGATGCATAAGTTGCATTGTCTTTCTTCATAAAGGGTGAAAAGTGAAACTAAACGAGCAGCAGGGAAGTTTCCCCCGTCACGTGAAATTAGGTTTTGTTTTGCAAATATGCGACCAGCCTGTTGACATGCGATCAGATAATAAAACACACTCATACACACTGCCTAACTGTGTAGCTGACAGGACGGATGGGAGGGGAAACAAAACAAGAGACATTGAGTTTATTTTCCACCTAAATGAAACTTAACGTCCAAAGGTTTTGATATGATGTGTCTGTGATTCACCTGATGACTCCTCCCGTGCCAATATAACAGCTGACTGCACGTGAAATCTGGCACTCAACCCAGCTGACACAACACACACACTGCAAGGTGAGTCCATTCCTTTCATTCTTCTATTGTATTTATTATTTTATCAGTAAAATACCTTCAAAAATAACCTTACATTAACTTTTGAATGGCTAGCTTACATTTTGAAAGGTTTTTATAAACTACAGTATTTGGATTATTATTTGTAATGCTTTGTCAGAAATATATATTATTGTATGGATGTATTCCTTCATGTTTACTCTTTTAATACTTGCAGATGTCTGGTGGAAAAATCATTGTTTTCTTTGACCTGGAGGCCACTGGTTTAGGTAACTATCATTACTTTTATGTCTGTTTGACTGCTTATCAATACTTATCAGCAGTGGTGGAACTCAGATAAGTAAAATACTAAATGGTAGAAGTAACTGTCCTGCATGCAATCAATAGTACAAAAATGATTGGCATTAAAAATGTACTTAAAGTACCAAAAATAAAAGTACTCGTTATGTGTAATGGCTCTTTTCAGAATCATTATTAAATGACTGGTTTTATGATTATTGATTTAAGTGTGTTTATCTAGAGGTAGAACTAATTGGAATTGCTTTACACACTGCTGCTGGATAGCCTATAATTGTATTTCAAGGTTTATTTAATAATTAATGTATTTTTTGAATTAGCCAATAATCTTAATGTAAAAGTAACTAGTGACTACAGCTGTCAAATAATGGTAAAAGTATAAAGTAACATAATCTGAAAAAAACTTGGGTAAAGTAGATTAAAGATCACCCTTTATATATCCCTACCTCATTGTACAACAATATACGTTAAAAAATGCACCTTTTTATCGTCATTTGTGATTAAATAAATTCATTCTTTGGGTGTAAAGGTTCATATTTGATATACTCCACTTTTCTAGAACTTGTATCCACATATTGTTGCCTTTATTATCACTAAATATATGATATCAAAGAAGTATTTTTTATTTTACACTTGACTAATATGGACTTTTTTTAATAACAGTGCTTAATTTGGCATTTAATCAAACTACAAACCTTGTTTTTTTAGATAAAGTGTTGTGTGTTTAATATTTAATTGTATACCAGACACAATCACAACAACATACCATCACAACAATAGTTTTATCAAGGCTCCTCCTGTTATCTGGCACGCGTCAGCTGTAATTTATAATGTGATATGGAGGACTTGCTGTTCCTGTTTGTATTGGTTTCGATTATCACATACTGTACATATCAGTCTCTGTTTGCAATAAAAGGGTGGAGTATCACCTGCTGTCGTTACACAACAATAACTAGGCTATTAGCACAGATGAAGTCCGGGCCAAACCACAAACATGCTCCTGTGGTGCAACAGGAAACCTCAGCTTCATGACAGACCCAAACAGGAAGCAACATGCAGATTTATATCACAGAAATTATAAAAAAGTAATACATTAACAAACATTTACGTTAGAGATATTTAGGGCTAAATGCAAAACCAGCTATGCGGTTTATATATGCAATGGATAAAATGACTATGACTCAATACTTCAGGTGTATTTGTCAGTGGTTTATAACTTTTAAAGAACAAATAATTAAGGGATACATTGAGGTTAGTGATAATACAAATAACTACACAGATTGCAGCCTTGGTTCTTAAAATGGTCTGAAGGTAAAACCAGAAGCTGAGAGAACAGTCATTGTGACTTTAAAGCGAAGTTCCTGATTCTCTCATGCAAATAACTCATGAGCTGCAGCCGCTGCACTCAGTCATTACCACACATTTAGCGGGATGACGTGACAGAAAACTCTAATGCAGGTATGAGCGTGTAATGGCTGCACGCGCCACCAGAGGCCGCCACCTACCCAGAGATACAAAATAATAACTACAACAATCAGATGTTCACAAATGTGTTTACTAAAACATGTAAATCACTACAATTTACAGGCAAATATTTACCTTATAACTACATTTATTTGAAAATTAAAACTAAATGTAAGATTCAGTCTCGGATTAATAATCCCAAATATAATAAACGTCTATCACATATACATTTTAAAATAAAATGAGACTTAATTGATCCCATTGTGACATTCACAAACGACCTGATAGTATCTACATTTAAATACAAATATATTACCAGCTGCAACAGTAAAGCAATGAACAAATAATGCATCAATAATTATAAAAACAATAATTTAAATTATTCTAAAAAAGGCAAGTGTTTGGCTAAAAAAACAAAAACACATCTCGCATTGTAGCATGCCATACACCCCTCTGTTTCAATAATAATGATAATAATAATAGATTACATTTGTTATAGCGCCTTTCAAGGGACCCAAGGCCACTTCACATGCTGTGAACAAACAAACAAGTAGGGCAAATAATAAAGTCAAAATTACATAAATATTCAAAATTCAGCCCTGATTGATGGATTTCTTGCAAATAAGGAAAAGGTCATTACATACAGCAATATGAAATTGAGTTTCTGTTCCTCCGGATGCTGCTGCTTGCATTGCAGGAAACATATTCTGCAGAAAAAAAGCAGAAGGAAATGCAAAACATCCTCTTGAAATGTCAGACATTTTCGTTTCTGTTGTCTTTGATATGCTTCAGTTGTTAAGACTTGAATTTACTTCCTTGCTGAGACTATACACTAAAGCTGACCCACATTAGCCTAGCACACAGAATGGGAAAGGGGGAAATAGCAGTTTGCTGACAAGACAATATTTGTTTTATATATATATATACATTTATTAGTGCTTATATAGCCTACAGTAACAATCTTATGTTATATACATAAAAAGTGAATTGCCAGAATATTGACTTTCTCCATCGCAGCATCAGTCAATATGCTGTTCATTTAACTTCTTATATTTATATAATATTTCACTATATTATGTTATCTTTAATGGACCTTTTTACTTTAAATTATTATGTTTTTATGATTTATTATTTTACCAAATTTGATTTTATCTTAATACTACTTACTTGTGGTTGTAAATGTTGTATTTTTCTGTTATCCTCTGCTAAAAAAAAATATCACCCCGTAACTGGCTTGAGTTTCAATATCAGGATCCATGTATGTATTATCCTTGCAAGAATGGAAGTAGTCATCACATACAGAGCTGCATGCGACAAATAGTTCCCTGAACAGTGTCCAGAACATGCTGATATACAGAGAGGGAGTTACACAGTCACAAGATGGAGGAATACCAGTTCAAAGCAGTATTCTATGCTTAGGTCAGATTACCTAAGGCCCACATAAGCAAGAAACATGACAGTCGTATGTCTATCTCCATAGGGGCTGAATCATCATGTTAATCGTAGGAACATAGCTATCGTATGTTCAACACAGTGTCTCATACATACAGTAATCATACATCCGGTTACGTACACATTTACAGTTGGGCCTCTGTTATCAGGTGCTATTCTGATATTGAAAGAGTTCATTCAGTATTTTCCCAACATCCTCCTTTAATCAATTTCCTCTCTACTTTCAGACACTGATGTGTGCGACATCATCCAGTTGGGGGCCATCTGTGGACGGATGGACTTCAATCGCTACATCCTGCCGACCCGCCCCCTCACTGAGAGTGCCAAGCAGGTGACGGGTCTGACCTGCAGGGATGGCTGCCTGTTTCTCCGCAGGACTCAGGTGGAAACCGTCCCTATGGAGGAAGCTCTCACCTCCTTCCTCGACTACCTCCGCTCTTTCCGTAAGCCTGTGCTGCTGGCGGCCCACAGTGCAATGCGGTTTGATGCACCTGTGATCACCAGGTGGCTGCGTAAGCACTCCCTGCATACAGAGTTCAAGCAGGTGGTCTCTGGGTTTGTGGATACCTTCCCGCTGAGCAAGAACCTCCATCGGGGTCTGAGCAGTTATTCTCAGGTCAATATGGTGCGTCACTTCCTGGGAAAGACCTACAGCGCCCACAATGGAGTGGAGGACGCCAGCATGCTGCAGGAGCTGTTCAACTCATGGAGTCCCAGCCAAAAGAGCATCTCCAGGGTGACCTACTCGACTTAAAGGTCACCTATTGTGCAAAATCCACATGACTTTTATACATCAACATGTGTCCCCTCTGTGTAAAGAGATTCTGAAAGTTTCAGGAACAAAGATTCTCTCTCTTTTGGTCCTGACCCATTTATATAAAAACCTGTCTGAAAATCAGCTGATCAGATTTTGGCCACATCATGATGTCATAAGTAACAGAATCAGCACTTTTGAAACAGGGCTGAAACAGAGGAGATTATGGGATGCTGCAATGGTCTGTTTGGTATTTCGAGTCACTAGCACTTCAGAGACATGTTTTGTTTATCTGAGAACTATAATATATAGATGAAAAACAGTAGGGGACCTTTAAAGAAAGATTAGCTACAGAAAATATATATTATATTTATATATCAATTTTCTTTGTTACACTGTTCATTCTGCAAGTTTGTTGTTTAATGTAACATGTGTCATAATCACAGGTGTTAGTCTTAAATTGTTGCACTTTATTTCCCACAAATAAAGATTTATTTTCTATTTGATTCTACAAGAAACTCTGGACTCTTTTTGAAATTACACTTTCATCTGTGGAGAAATGTCTCTCATCATTAGACCAGCATGCAAAACAGCCTCATGCTTTGTTTTGTTAGTGAAGCTTCATTTATCAGATACGCATGCATGTTGGTATGCTCCAAGATGGTGGAATGAGCTCCCCATTGACATCAGGACAGCAGATAGCTTGCACATCTTCCGGCGCAAACTGAAAACTCATCTCTTTCGACTCCACTTCGAGCGATAGATTTATTAACAAAGCACTTATATACTAATAAAGGACTGGATTATCTAAAGCCAGTTGAGTAGCACTTGAAATGTTTGGCTCTATGAAACCTGATGTACTTTATGATTCTGTTTTCTTCAAGGTTGTATCTTCCTGGTCGAATGCACTCATTGTAAGTCGCTTTGGATAAAAGCGTCAGCTAAATGCAATGTAATTTAATGTAATGTTAAAAGTTTAAAAGACACAATGCACAAACTGACAATATCTGACAAAAACACATTATAAACAATAGTTATTTACAATCTCCCTGAAATGCAGCAAATAAGACGTAAATAACAGGGGAACTAGTACAGAGCCAGACGGGACACCACATAGGACAGTGTAGAACAGGGGTCTCCAACACGTAGTTCGCGGGCAGCTTTTCAGTAGCTCGCCGCTCGATTATCGATTATAGCGTAGTAAGGTTGCCTCTGTGATTTTGGACAATTTTATTTTTGAATTTTTTCTGTCACATGAATATCAAATTGGTCGGTGACGAGATCAAGGAACAGACGTGACGACACCACACACGGAGCAGTCTGCTTTCTCAACCAACACCAATCCAGAACCAACAGCAGAATGACCCGCTCTGAATCAGGCCCTGTCGCTGCGGCTCAGACACACAGGGAGGGATTTGTGTTGAAAAACACTCGTTATCGTCATGTCAGGTTTTTGGTTCACTGATTGAGATATGATGAAGCTAACTTAATCTCATACATTCATGGGATTTATGTAAGACAGAGAATGTAAGTGTGCACCCACATGCAGTATTTTTGTTTTTCTAATGCTGTTGTAAATACTCCTGTTGTCTGCTGTGTTCAGACTTCAGTCCTGTGTGTGATGCCACATTCAAGACATTCAGTTTCTTTTTTTAACAGAAGACCGTTGCTAGAAGCTGCAGCTAGACCGCAGAAGTATTCGTTTTTTGTTTTTGAGGATGGAACAATTTCACACACAGATATAGGGAGGCTAGACCTATACAGTTGATGTATTATGGTTTATAATTTCATGTCAACACGAAGAAGAAGAAGATGGCTGAACTGTTCACTGTCAATCCTGTGGAGATGGAGGTTATACATCTCAAAAATCATGTTCAGCTTAAGTCTCAGCAAAAATCACAACATTTCTGGAGCCTTGTAGACCCAGAAAACTATAAGAACATCCCCAAGCAGCACTGAAAGTCTGCTTTATTTGGTTCTGTATACATACCTTTGTGAAGCAGCTTTTTCTGACATGAATGTCATGAAATCTAAATACAGAACAAGACTGACTGATGAACATTGAAATGACTCTATTAGATTGAACCTAAGTGGGTCCAGCATACACCTGTATGGTGGACTCCATGCAGTGCCAGTCATCTCACTAACTGTGAAAAGGAGTGAATGCTCTTATTTTTACACATGCTTGTAAGGTGGTGATTAAGGTGATGTACTTACTATGTGGGCCATAATAATATGTGAGAAATTGTCGTTTTCTTGGACCTTGATGTGAAGTTAAGATCTTTGATAAGCTTTAGGTATTGCAATTTCACACGTGTACAAAAGTAGCTTAATTCAACTGATGAGGGCTATGTGAATAAATGTAAGCGATGAGATGGAAGGCCACTTTCATTTTTTCAAAGTAGCTCTCAGATGAAGAAAGGTTGGAGACCCCTGGTGTAGAAGAATCAGAAACAACATATAGGATACATGGTAAAACTGTCTGTGAGCTAGTGTGGTCATCTACCAATCGAAAGATCTGTGGTTTGATTCTCAAATGTGTTTTATAGGTTTCCGTGCACATAAATGGTCTGCAAAGGCTAACACTTCTCTCCTACACACTTCCCCCCCCCCCTGCCTGAATTGGATTCCTTTGTTCAAAGGACATCACTATGACATTATGATTTGTTAGAGCTAAAATCCTAATGTCTGTCCACAGTTCACTCTCTCTTCCTGTGAGCATTGTTCTCTTGCCTTCTGGCTTCAGCGCGATTAACCGTCCTCAAGGTGTCAAAACCACAGAGCCAAGGCCGTATCCACCATTGAGGTCACCGAGGTCCGGACCTCTGTAATTATTTCCGAGCTGCGTATAGAAATACTTGTGAAAATAACGGCACTAAACAGGGTCCTTTGTAGTACTTCCATTTACTGACAATGGGGGCGATGCATAACTACGTAGCCTCGATTAAAGCAAACAGAAGAAGACGAAGTGGATCAACAAACCACTGCAGCCCAGACTTGTACCGGAGCAGCGGAGGA